CCCCGCCCCCTTGGAATTGATTTTTCAATACAGACCCCCCCCCCTCAAAATTCAATTCTCTCCTGGAGAACGTCTTCGTGAGCCAGCCTCTCATGATTTCAGGATAGTTGAAACCCTCTTGAACATTTAGAAAGAGTGCATATGAAATTCTAATCACGAAAGGTGTTCCCCGAGGGGATACATACCTAGAGTTTGTTTTGTGAAGCACGTCAATTCTCTCCTGGGGAGCGTCTTCGTGAGCCTCTTATGGTTTCAGGATAGTTCAAATCCTACGATGCTCCGATTCAATGCTCACCGATGATCTGATCCATGGGGCAAGTTTGTTTTCCTAAGAATCTGTTTGAACATTTCCAGAGCATATGTTTGAACAATTAGAGTGCGTATGAACATATATTTACGATTTACGAAAGGTCGCCTCCGAGGGGATAAATCACCATGTCGAACATTGCATTTTTGTTCCTGCCTCTCGCGTTCTCTTCTCTTCCCGCTGTCCTACCTTTCGTGTCTCCCTCCTTTCAAGTTTTCTGGAATCGAATTGCTTTGCATTCGCAATCCGTTTGAGATTGCTACCAGTGGGTCGATCACCTATATGATCGTATATGCACTGCAACTCTTCCCAACCCACGGGCATATTCCACAGACCATTTCTGGACAGACCATTTCTGGCCATAGCTGTCAAACCCTACACATCCCTACACTGGCCTTGTGTTCTTTTTCTCCAACGCTCAGGTAGAATCGAAAAGGTGTGCATTTTACAATGCATTCATGTATATAGATGATGTCAGATGCAGTAGCAAACACATCCAGATGTAGACATCAGTGTCATGAGTTTTGAGTTTCAGCCCATCGGTTTACTTCAGGAGAGGGAAGGTAGGCAGAAAGAGCAAGCAGCATGCCAGCTGCAGGGTGCCCAAAGAGAAGGCAAGAGCAAGAAGAAAGATTGCCCCTTTTGGATGCTCCAAGGTGTTTTGTTCCTCTCCAATGGGTAGGTAGGGTCGTTTGTTTCAACGGCAGAACCCTGCAGAAGTGTGTGGCTGGGTGTGTTTGCATCAAGAGCCTTGTGTGAAGTCGGATCATTTCACACTACGCCAGGTGTGCAAAAGTTTCCGCAACTGCAGCAGCAACTACAACAGCCGCAGCAACTACAACAGCCGCAGCAACTGCAACATCCGCAGCAACTGCAACAGCCACAGCAACTACAACAGCCACAGCAAATGCAACAGACTCAACTTCAACAGCCACAGCTCCCACCGCAGTTGCAACCACCGCAGCTGCAACAACCACAACTTCAGCAGCCACTAGGACTGCAACTGGTTTTTCACTTTTTCTCAGTCGACGACCCCAATCCACATTCCACATGTTTCTCGGTTCTTCTACAGGCTCTCGATGTACATGTTGGTCACATTTGGTCACAATCTCACCAACTTGGAAGATGTTTGTTATTGCCTATCGAGTCACGCGGCACCTGTCTTCAAACGCCATGAGACACCTGTCTTCCACTCCGTCCCCACTCCATGGAATCCCAACCTGTTTAACCTCCATGCAGCACCCGCCCCCGCCCCCCCAGGCCGCAACTTCAACAGCCGCTGCCCAGCTCGAATGCGCCACTCATTCGAGCGCCGCAGATCCAGATGCCGCAGGTAAGGTCGGTCTTGCCTGGGTGGTGAGTGGTTACAGGGGAAAGGGGAGTTGCAGACATCGCACCAGGGCCCCTTAGTGACTTAGCGTTTGTTGAAGCTTGTACTCATCACATCTCATCACCTATACCTTCGATGTTTGCAATGAACCGGTCCCCCTTCTTGCCCAAGCCCGGCGTAGCAGAACCGCCGCGGTTGGACACAGGTTCAGATCCAGATGCCAGTGGCCTACGGCTGCCAAAGCCCACCGTTTCCCATGCAACGATGAGGCACCGAGACACGAGACGAGTGAGGGCTGTCCCGGGGGCGAGACCAGACGTGGATGGTGAGACTGGTAATGGAAACCCTCAAGTACTCTGTTGACCTGAGGTCCCTTTGAAGTAGTTGCAGGGCTTGAAAATGGTGCGTAGTATGTATACTGCTATATGCTGCTTATTCATATACAATGTAAGTACAATTGATGCAGAATGATGCACGCGTTTCACGCATATCGTTCATGTCTATTTAGCTAAATGCCTTTATATCCATAGGATTCTCTTGCTGATGTTGCACCTGGGCTGGCAGGACCGTTCTCAATGGTGTCACCTGAGGGTGGCGACATCGGGGATTCTGCGGTGTCCCGCCGTGATGAGTTGGGTCGCTGGCCCCGGATCCGTGTCGAACACCGGTCGTATGGGTTCAAGGTTCGATCCAGGGTCGATCCGTGGAATTAGAATTCTACTAGGAACAAGTGCCTCGCTAGTAGTGACAAGTGCCTTACTGGTAGTAACAAAAAGCTATTAGAATTAAATCAAAATTAATGGCTTCCTGTTACTACTTGTAAGGCACCTGTTGCTACTAGCGTGGCACCTGTTACTATTAGCTTGAGTTCTCTAGAATACATCGCCATTCGTCAGTGGTCGACCCGGGCTCGATTCCCGGATCCGCGAAGTCGTATCATTCATATGTCGCGCCAATGACGAAATCGCTTTGGAGAAGAAAGGAGCGGCATCAAGAGGGAGGGAACAAGACCCGGAGAAGGGTGATTGGCAGTGTCGTGAAATTTTTGGATACATGCAATGAGTCGCGAGCTCGCTTCTTTTTTGTTGTCATGTCTCTCTCTCTCTCTCTCCCACCCTCTGGGCAATGCATGTCTATGATGTGGGAGGCTATCATTTGGCACGGTCCAAAGTTTTCAATCCAGCGTGTCCCTCTGCAGACACTGTACTGCACCATTCTTCCTTTCTTTGGGGTGAAAGTGTCTATACTGTACCTCTTTTGCTTTATGGCCTGCAAGGCTGCAAGTGCCGTAGAATTGCGGCGTTCAGGTTCAAACAGCTTCGAACTGCAGTTCTACAAGTTCTATAGTGAACCATTTGCAGAACCGGGCTAATTCAGGCTGCTGCTTTCACCATGCCCGTCAAAAAGATGGTAGCAACCACCAAGCTGGTGTGGGGGGGGGCCGACTACACTGTGCAAAGCCAGCCACAAAAAGGCCTCAAAGACAAAGCAAGAGCGTTCTGGAACCATTAGATTCATTCAAGCTCTTTCCAGGAGCAATCAAAGCAGTCTCCAAGCTTTTAGCTAAAATCGGTTTTCGCTTGCGCCTATGCGCCGTGTGGCGTGGAGTTTTATCAAGGCAGGTGGTATGGCCAATGCCGGGTTCAGGACTGGTGCGCCGTCAATATCGACCATACAAGGCGGCACACGCACACACAGACACACAGAGAGCTTTGTTGAGAGTTCTTGAGAATATGTTGCTATGTTTCAGGCTCACGATGTCTGATTCATGAAGAAACTTGTTTGAGAAAGAAGGCAAGGCATTGTTCTTGGAATGCTTTCAGCCCAAAGGAGTTTTGTGTTTTTGGGGACGCGTCCATGATCACCTATGCAGTATTGTTATACACTGTATTACACTGTTAATTTTACAATATTTACAGCAAAATTTGAGAGTGCCGGCTGTTTGGCTGCTGATGCGGTACAAATATTGCCCCACATGTCCTTTTTTTTGTGAAGATCTTTGCCCATGCAATTCGACCCAATTCCACAAGAGGAACCTTTCTTGAGCCTAACGTAAAAACTAAGGACAGATTGATGTGTCTCCCTCTCGTGAGGAGGAAGCCTTCCTAACCTCCATGTGGTTCTTTTTTTCACAGCGCAGTTTGTTGAGAATGCATGGGGTATATGCCACTGAAAGTGCTCCGCAAACGTGCCGTAAAACTATGAAGCATGGTGGATGCAATAGTTTCAATAGATCTATTTATACGCTCGTCCTCGTCCTTGATTCAACTTGAAACTGAGAAGAACTTGTTGCTTCATGTTGCTTCTACGCTTCTCCTGAGTATATAAGACCGGCAGGACTCTTCGAGGTGGTGTCAGCCGTGGCCACGTCACCCAACTGGCATTCGGCACTGGCTTTGCTGCAAGAGGCGACAGCTACATAGAGCAGGAACTCAAGATGGGACGTGACTGGGTGACTTGTGAAGGTGAAGATGTCAAGACGTGTCTGTGTCCCATCAGATCTGATTGACATCAAACGCCCCATTTAGGTCGAACCTCTCCAGATCTTCAGCAATCCAATATTTCGCTGTATCCAGTCCGGTCTTCAGGGATTGAAACTGTACGTAAGCATACGTGAGCATACGTGAGCGTCACAAATCGCATTGAATTTCTTGAGCAGCGCTGTTTACAAAGGCAAGTCTTGTTCTTACTGTAATAGACTGGGTTGAATCGAAGGATGTTGGCGAAAACATTCTACCCCAGGTCCCCCAGGTTGTTTGGAGTTTCAGCGGGGCCCCCGTGGCTAGGCCAGCCGGAAAGTCTTTTCTTCGTTGAAGAAAGATGAAGATGTGAGAAAAGGTGGCTACAATCATGCATGTGTCAAGCTCAAGCTAGGTCCCCCAGAAACAGGTAGAAGAACTTGCAGCTTGCAAACTCTATATGTAGAAACTCCTGATGGACATCTCGAACATGCACAACAGGGTCCCCGGATCGCAGGTCTGGTCTTGTGGCAAGACTGAAACAAAGCCATGGCGCCATAGCTTTAGGCTTTCAAGTCAAGAAAGTTCTTTCGCCACAGGATGCATCTCTAAGTCGCTGGGGATCTTCACCAGGCAGGGGACCCTGAGAGTCCTGCTCTCGGAATTTGCAACTTAAAGCACCCCCCAGACTGGCCAAGAGGGCGAGCCCACAGACTACTATCACATCTATCGAAACATGGTCAGAGGCAGGTACCCTCTCAAGTCCTCAAAGAACAGTGCTTTCCATGTGTAGCCATGGTTGGATATGCCTCCGCCACAACTGGGCAAGCTGATTGCCAGCTATGGTGATGGAACGCGCTGGCTGAACGCAGACGCCTTGGGTGTTCCCCGAGGCCCATGCCGAATGTGCAAGAGATGCCCTGGCTTTCCAGGCACAGGCACCCTTTATTGGCCACTCTCCTCCGAGGAGCAAGCCGCCGGAATGGCTCAGGCCTATCCTCATTTGCCGGTGCGATGTGGCCGATGCGGATGCCCTGGACACCAGCATCAGAATCTCGAGCCCTGGCTCGCCGACGTGAAGGATCGCGCAGCACAGATGCGCCACATCGTCAGTTGGTATCGGCCCTTGCCCCCCGAACCACACCTGCCCATGGCCGCTGCCGGGTGGTCCCGCACCTCCGCTGCCCTCTTCGTGCTCACCAACGGCATTTTCGACCCTCGGCGCGATGGTGTGAAGGAACGGCGACAGGTGGAGCGATTGGACGCGTCGAAGGCGAAACCGTTGATCTCCGTGGTAGCGCCCACCAGCTTTTCGCGCCAGGGCTTCCATCCTCTGCTCTACGATTGCTTTTGCCGGCAAGAGTACCATCCAAAGGAATTGGTGGTCGTTGACACTGGCCCGGAGCCATCGTCCTTTTTCCAGGAGCGGGTCAAGGAAGATCCGCGAATCATCTATCGACACTTTTGTGTGGCGGATTCGCGATTAGATCTCCCAGAAGGGTGGAAGAAAGGTGCCCCTGTTCACTTTGGCTTTAGTGGCTGGGATATGCTTTGGAGATGTTGAATGATGTTGAATGTGATTTTTGTTGCATCCTTGTCGAGTCATCTGGACCTTTCTGTAAACAGCGAAAGGTGTCCATCTTGTTGGCCAATTTGTTTGTATCAGTCAGTCAGTCCGTCACTCTTGCTGTATATGTTGTGATTATATCTAGGCTCATCTAGCTTGAACCGGGTGTCTTCCAAATAGCAAGTGTTTGATTTGGAATAGTACCTTGTTGTCAAGTTTCTTGCTGGCTCCGTTAAGAGCATGTAACACAGCCATGTAGTTTATTTGGTCCTGCTTGGGAGCAAAGAGCTCTAAGAATGAGGCAACATCCACATGCGCTTGATACAGGCAAGACTGACCTATATATACAGTCATGGAACTTCAAGAATTTAGATTCCTTCGTAGTGGGCAGCCATGCCAGCGTGGAGATATGATGATGATGGAGACGTTACGTGTGAAGAGTCTGCAGAGACCATCTCCTTCCTCACAACCACGAACATCATCCACCGCTTCTGGCGCCACAGCCAAGCACCACTATTTCAAACGTTTTGCGCCACATTTTGATAGAGCTTTCGCTTCAAGACTGTTAAAGCACTTGGATGGAGAACGTGGACCTGTCGGAGCTGCAAAAAGAGAGGCTTGACTTTGACCGGGACGTTGCAACTTCAATAGGTCCAAGTCGTACTTCACACTATTTGCCAGATCTTTCTCGGCCCTCTGCGGAGTCATGTGTTGATGTAGGTCTGTGCGGCCCCGAGGGCTGAGCCAGCTGGAAGCACCAACCACTGCGCTTATATACTGACTGCTCAATATGCCCAGCTTGGACGTGTGAAACTTTCTCGGTTTGACGTTTACCTTGTATTGGTGCTCAGGAGCGGAGGCTCAACGATCTTGGATTGGAAGATTATGCTTGGAGCAGTCGGATGCAAACACCTGAAGCTTGTAGGTGCAATGTGCGCCCGAAGCTTCAGTGCTGGCCAAGCTCGATCAATGGGGCCTTGCAGGAATGAGTGAGTTGGAAACGGAAAACCCGTCACAATTTTACCAGCCAAATTGATTTGGCCAGGGAAACCTGTCACGTTTCGGACGCGGTCCCCAACCCTAAAATGTGACGGGCTTTTAAAAAAGCCCGTCGCAATTATTAAGTAAGGAAAATGGAAACCCGTCAAACTTTCCAGCTCACTCCGAACTTCAAATTGTGATGGGCTTTCCAAAACCTATGGAATTGTGATGGGTTTCTTGACAAACACATCGCTTTTCTGGGGCCAGGCAAGCTTCCAGATCGTGATGGGTTTTCTGGCCAAATGGATTTGGCCACCAAAATGTGATGGGTTTCTTTAAAACCCGTCGCAATTTGACCAGCCAAATCCATTTGGCCGGGAAAGCCCGTCGCAATTTGACCAGCCAAATCCACTTGGTGAGGAAAACCCGTCAAAATTTAGCCAGCCAAATCTTTTTGGCTAGGGAAACCTCGAACACTTGGTATACCTAGGGTCCAACCGCTTTGCACTTGGAGTAATTAAGTGTTGCAAAACCTGTTTGGCATAAAGGACTTGTCACGGTTTTACTGTTAAATTGTGTTGGTTCAGTAAGGACACCTCAGTTTCCAACAAAGACCAAAGTAGAAGGGCTGGGGTTTTGAGCTGGGTGCGCTTAACCTTGGTAGGCTATTTGACTGCCAGCTAGCTGGCAGCCGGTGTGCCAGTTTACTGGCAGTCACAACCTGTTTGAGTTTGTGGTGTGTGCTTCTTGAAGCTTTAAGCTTCTGGAGGGGCTTTAGGACGAGGTGAGAGTTGTTCGAGTAAAACGGTCGCGTCCGTTGAAGGTTGCCTTGAAGCTTCGTGATTCTTAGAACCGCGGCTTGTTGAGGCGATCTGGTAGCGGGGGGACACTATCGCGTCACATGGAAGATCAAAGTGAAAAATAGCATAAGGGAAGATTCAACATTTTGACCTGCTGGCTTGGTTGCAATGTGCGCATGGAGCCTGGTAATTGAATTTGGTGCTATTTGCTATCATTATGGTTTTGAATGGGATGCCATGTGATGTGTGCAAGTGCTGATTGTTTGCAACTTGCAGCAAATGCTGCGAGTCCGTGGAAAAAGCTGCCAGCCTGTGCTTTGGAGTTTACCGGACGGGTAGAAATTTGGACACCCACTTGCTATTTGGAGGACACCCGGTTCAGGCTCTTATCTTCTTTCTAGCTGTAGCTGATGTTTCTCTGGATTTATTGGTGCTCTCACCAGTTTTGGCTTCTCCTACGTTCCCAGCTTATTTTTTTCTGTCCAAAGTAGATATGTCCTTCTTAAGGCTTATCTTCTTTCTAGATGTATCTAGACGTTTTTTTCTCAGGAACGTAGCTAAAATCTAACTTAGCTAAAATTGCCTGAACGTGGTGGGGGGGGAGGGGGTCTACAGGAGTTAGATTTCGTGCTTATGTTCCCCAAAAAATGTAAGCTAGGGGGTCGAAAATGTAACATTACATTTTTGACGTCTTAAAACAAAATGTTATATTACATTTTCGACCCTCAAATCTAGGGAAAATGTAAGTTACATTTAGGGTCCTCCCCCCTCACTAATTTGTAGCGATCATATAATGTATATTTTTAATTGATGGATCTGTCAATTTGGATTTATGGTTGCAGTATTATTCTATCCCGCAACCATACGGGGCACATGTTAGTCGGCAAAAATGCCACTCAGGTACCCCAGATCTTTGGTCCTCCCGGGGCTTGCGCCCAAGTGCTTGGTCGCTGGGTATGAAGCGGAATGTGGCGATCGAGCTCTCAGCGGGCGAGATCATTGCCCACTTTGACGATGACGACTTGTACGCAGAGGGCTACCTCACCTGGATGTCAGCACCTCGGCGAATGAGGATGGCGCGGATGGCACCACGCGGATTGGTTTCGCACCTTTTGGTGGTTAAAGATGTTCAAGAAAACCGCGACAGGACCTGGAAAAGTGTTGGACTGTTAGACCAGTGTTTGCAAGGCCCACTGGGCAGCGAACACAAAAAAAGGAAAATGATAGAACACGCATATATATATATATATATATATTTGTATTTATATCTGTGCAAATCTTTGCAGTTATGCTTCCCTGAGGCAAGAAGCATGTGTCGTGCTATTTGCAAGTTACCTCATGTACATTTGAGGTGTCCATGTTGGTTTGCTGCGCGTTATTTTTTGGCGTTGATTGACATCAATTCCTCTGTTCCCTGCAGTGCCCTGTTGTTGTGTTTTCCAGCAACTGCTGAAATCAATGCAACCCTCAGAGTTGTAGACATACCAACTGCAATGTTAAGTTTGCGCGACTTGTGTTTGTGTTAATCTCAACGGGTGTAACATATTATTAACACATGCATCCATCCATCCATTAAGTATATTTGGCCAAAATGAATCCCATGGTCCCATGCTCCAAGAGTTGCTGTTGGCCACTGAAGCCCAATGAAATCAACTCGGATGTTCGTTCCATGTCGGCCGTCCTCCGCTCCACCGTTTCCAGCTCTCGTCTTCGGGACGGATGGGGTCTCTCCATGGCCATTTCGGACGTGAATCTCTCGGATCCGGTGATGTCCACCGCTGTGTCTGTCAGGATCGTCTCCAGCAGGTCCTGGAGAAGTCGGAGCCAGTGACTTCGGAGCACATTGAATCCACCTGGGCACCTGCGGCCATTACACTGAAGGCCTGGCACTTGCTGGACCTTTCGGATGCGAAGCCAAGAAATGATCCGTTTTTGGTTCCCCTTAGGGAAGGACATATGAATTGGATGGCCATGAGACATTCCTGACACCATTACTCGATGTTTGCATATGCTCTTGCAAATTAGAATGCATGTGAAGGTGGCCCATGTTATTTTCGCACATGTTATATTTTAAAATGATTTAAAATGCATATACTGAATGTATAGATATTGAATTTATGTATATATACAACTATGATGCATTAGATACATCTACATCCCCTTCAAGACTCTTGGCTCAAATCTGGAGTGGCTGTAAAACGTTTTGGGGATTTGAGCCGAGAGTTCTGAGGGCCAGCTGCTTTTTCCTGATCTTAGGACATGACCTTTGGCTTCATGGATGTTGAGAAGGACCCATTGCTGCCCAAGGATCAGCGCTACGGGTGGCTCTATGGCTGGGGCTTCTCCTACGTCTTCACTCGTGCTTGTTGGGAGTCTCCGTCAAGATCAATAGCTTTGAGATGGTACGCCCTGGAAGATTGACATGGAACCTGAAACCTTATGTCAATCTTCCCGGGAGTATTTGTGAGATGCTTTGTATTTTCCTGTTCCTGGCAGTCTACATCCCGACGTCCAAAGCTTTTACCTGAAAGAAGTTGCCAAACAATGAAACAAGGTGGTAAACTGGGTAAGCTCTATGGTCTAAGATGGCCCAAAACAAGGGCCCGAACGGCAGGAGTTGACACCAGTGCCAGACGTGGAGTGGTCAGAAGACATCAGCTTCTATGAGGAGCTCCGGCGCCTCAAGGTGCCGTGCCAAGCCGCGCCATTCGGCAGTGCTGAATGCCAGTGATGTCGAGAAGACTCTGAGGTGGTGTAGGACTCTTCAACGGGGATTGTTCGTGAAGCTGTGTAGATATGTGTTGTCATGTGTTGTCGCATGTAATTAGATGTGGGTTTCTACGGCCTAAAATTTCACGATTTGCCTGCAGGTTGTGGCAGTGAGACAGGGAAGATTGAGAAACGATTTCCAGAATTCAAAGGCGGTTTGCAAGGAATGGCAAGAGTGTACTGCAGTAGACGTACTTTCCTTGGTCCATTTGATGTCTCATATATAGACGTATCACGTATCTCTTTTCTTCCCCTCTCGTTGGCATCGTGGAGTCTTGACCTTGCTGAACAAGTGTGTAAGCGTAGTTGTTCTTCAATCGTAGCAGGAATTTCATGGCACTTTTGTGGCTCAAGCTGATGCTGAATTTGTTTGGCTAGCGGCTATGATGTCCTCCCGTTTAGTTGCGTTGGCGATCTTGGGTGCTTGGAGTGTGTCTTTGCAAGGCTGCAGCGAGAAAAAGCCCGAGCCCAAGACGTCCTGCAGCATCAAAACCAGCAGCGTCGCCCTCGCCGCGACGAAGCCTTGTAACAAATCCATCCCCAGCAAGACGCTGGAGACTCCAGATGTTGTGGTGAAGACCATGCAGGATGAGAAGGGTTTCGTGGAAATGCAGCTTCAGATTGGGAACAACACCTTCAAAACGGCTGACCGGTCCTCCTTCGCCTCGTCGCCCAAGAACCTCACCCAAGTCACTCTTCAGCCCGTACAGTCCACCCGGAAAGAGGCGATTTGTGTAGACCTCTACAGCAGCATGGGGATTGATAGCGTCATCGTCTCAAACGATTTTTCATGTCCCAGCTGTGCGGATGCCAAGGCTACAATGATTGTTTGGGAACTGGTTGTTGTTGACAGCACATTCATGTCGCCAGGGCCATGCCCCACTACAGAGAGAGTGGATGGTGAGAATGCGGAAGAAGGGAGGCACACTGAGAGTCTGAAGTCAACCAGGCCAACTCAAAACATTTCGATCTCTCAGAATGTAATGGTGGCATAGGTTTGCTGGTCCAAGATCACCTTGTGCCACAACTGAGCCCCTGGCCAGTCTCGAGGGAGCCGATGGCCTGTCTCACTAGCTGCTCAGTGTTTTGCAGTGCTTGCTTGGAGCAAAAAGGTCCCAGTTCATACCACCAGCCTGCTTGGAGTCCAAGAAGAAAAGTTTCAGTCAGAGCTCCTGAGAACCTTGCAAACTAGCACACGAATCCTTCAAACTAGCAAACCTTCATCCCCTCCAAATGCCACTGCAGAGGATTCACTAGTCAATGGAGAGCAAGCCGCTAGTCCATTTGCCACAACACCTGCCACCGCCACCTGCCTTCTCGCTCGAGGTGCCTGTGGTCCCGGTGCGTCCAGAACGGGTGATTTGCGCGCACAGCTACCACGCCAAGGTAAACACCAGCGGCGGGGAGTTTTCCGGCGCTGTGCGTTGTGGAGAAGCGATTTGGGAGGCCAGGCTCAGCGACGCGGGGCTGTGTTTGAGGGGGGGTGGCATGAAGGATTGAACCTTCCCTGCAGTCCAAAGTCCTCGGGTCCTTCAGAAAGCTGGATTGAACCAACCGGGTTCCAAGATTCTCCCGACGGGAGGCGCCCACGGAGCTTTTGGACCTGTTGCCCTTAGCGGAAGAGGCCGCCAAACGGGTGGCCCAGCACATGGGCAGCGAACTCACTGTGGCGGACAAGAGTGGCTTCCGGGTCAACTTGTCGGAGAAGAAGGTGGGTGTATGTGGGAGCGTCATTCTTGGGGTGGTTTACATAATATGGTTAGTAACGTTAGTAATTAATGGTAATTATAGATAATCTGGTTTAATTGAAGCCTTTGGCTAGTAGCAACTTGAAACTGGAAAGCCTTTGGATGAGGAATGATGAGGATAAGTTTGTATTGTGCATCCTGGAGGCCCTGGATGTGTTTTGGAAGTCCCTTTGCGTGCCCTTCAAGAATGTAACCAAGTCAGTTAGTGGTCCAATCACCTGGGTGCTTGCTTTTTGAAGATTTCACCTGGAAGGAATTTCTGGAATGCCGTGGTCAAGCATGGTTCACCTATCAGCAACAAAAGATTGCCGAGAGGAAGGTCAAGACCGTTTCCGTGCACACTTGGCCATCTCCGATCTGATCGTGGCCTTGTTTTGGCCGGCGCTCGGATCGCCCGAATCCGATCCCGAAAAAGGCGGCGGTTTCACTCCTGTGTCGTGCGCATGAGTTCGGGTCTCCTGGCTTGGGATGATTGAGCTGAAGTTTGCAATATATTCCCTTTTGTAACTTGCTTAAGCCAAACTGTTTGAGCTAAACACTGGATGCACCCAGCAAGACCCTGTAATCGTGTCTTCAACGTTTCTGTCACCCTCGGGTCCCAGTGCGGTCAACCGTCCAGGCCTGCCGCAGCGCTGTGCGCGCCGACGCGGCGGCGTTCAACGCCCTGGCGACACGTGCCAACAGCTGGACAGAGGCGCAGCTCGGCACAGGTCGGGCGGCTGATGGTGCAACCACGGAGTAGAATGGAATTCAGTTGGTTGTTTGTGTAGTAATAACGAATTCTTTTGGCTGGACCTTGGGTCCTTGACACCTGGTCCTGTTTTGGAGGAGTTGAAGGAGAGAGTTTTGGCGACTTCAACACCAAAGGATTGAGACTCCGACTTCTCAGCAGGCGAGACCCGCCAGTGACGGGGGTCCGACCGATGGGACCTGAAACTGAGGTTTTATCACTTCACCTGGGCTCGTCACCAGGGAATCACCTGCACTTCGCGCTCCCTACGCAGCGCGTGTGCTTCGGGCGTGCGATGGCCACAGGGGCTGGAGAGGGTCGGGGTTGGGGGGAGGTGAGCCGAAAGCTCAGTTGATGGAATGCTTGTACCATTGCGGGGCAAGGTTTTGTCCATGATAGGCATGGGGAAGGGATCAAAACTAGGAAAGTAAGCTTCGGCCGATCAAAAATGAAACTTTTTGTTTGGGTTCTTCTACAAATAACCAAAAATATTTGATTGATTGAAATGAGAGTGAGGCAGCACCAGACTGGTTTCAACGATTGATATTTGCTCACAGTTGCGGGCATTTGCTTCGTATGCATCATGTTCGATTGGGGGACTAATTAAATTAATGACTCGTCTATACTTGTTTTGGGAAAGATTCTTCATGAGGACCATGGAGCCCAACAAATGCTTCCGTGCGTTGGTGAAACCATGTTTGTCCACAGTTCCATGGCCTGCCTTCCATGTTGAAAGCAGAGTAAAACCTGCCAAGCCAATGTTTGATTTTTGACATGTTTTGTTTTGCAGCATCACCTTCCATGTTCAAGTGCAGGGCTCAAAGACTCAAAGACTGTGACTTCACGACCGTCGCGCGCACAAGCACCTCTCACGCCTGAACACCAACCTTCCCAGGAGCTCTTGACCCTTTTCGATGCCATGCACATGCGCTTGGACATGGTGGCCTTTAGCGCAACTGCCCATGGGGCAGTGGCGGTCGGACAGTGGCACCTTGGTGGTCTTGGTGTTTCCTCCGTGTGGATGAATTGCCTGTTCAGGCGATGTCAACCGCAGGGAAGCACAACATAGCAACCATCCTTTGGTTTCAGGTTCGTAATCCAGGATGGCCAGATACAAACGAGAGGGTTCCTTCCAGGAACACTGCGTGGTGCAAATCAGTGGTTGATGAAGGTTTGGGCAGCAGTTGCGCAATCGCTGGAGGGTGGGGTTATTCTATAGTGATGTGTTGCCGATGTTTGTGTTTAGCCTCCAAGGATGTTTCTCTCCATTGAATATTTGTGCTTGCTGGGCGGGGGGTGATTGTCGTTTGTCAAAAAGCCAAGCGATTTGCCTCCTTCCTTTCACAGCAGCTCTTTACAGTCAGAAGGACTTGCTTCGGAACCAGCTTGCTCGTTGGTATCACCAGGTTCTCGCCAGCAGCTAGGGTCTGGAGTAGACGAGACAAACCAACCAGGGGCCCACAAGAATTGTCAGCAGTACCAAACCGAAGTTTATGGAAGTGTTCGGCAATCCAGTGCTGACCTAATTACAGTATATATCGTTTAAAGTCCAAACTTGCCATGGTCAGATGGGTTTTGCAGATGGGCCCCTAGCTATCATCCATGCCAAGCATCGGTGCTCAGGACCACCGTGCTGGATGTGTTGCTGAGCCTCCAGTTCTTCAAGCTTGAAACCAGTGCCGTACTGCGCCTCTTGGCGAATTGGGCAGAACATGAAAGCTGCGGAATATATTGGATGCTACTTTGGTAAATGCTCACTCGTGATAAGGCGTGCAAGACTTTCCCGGTAGAAGTGCGGAGTGCAGCGTTCAATCTCTTGAGAGAAGTGAAGCCAGCAAGGCAACACCGCAGTGAACGCCTTGTCCAAGACCTTGCAATGGCAAAGATCCTTGCAGGTGGGCCAAATGTTTGCACATTCTGGGCAGCTGTTTGCACACGGAGGAGTCCTTTTCTTAACGAGTTTGCTTGCTGGTTCATTCAGGTGTTCAGTGTGTCAGTCCTCAACGGACCTTTTGGGGACCAGCACGGACCGTTTGGCAGGCCGTTCGTGCTGCTACCTTCCAGCAGCTGCGTGCCTTGAAGAGGAGGTGAACAGAGGCTTAGACCAGAGGTGAAAACTAATCGCTTTTTTCAGAGCTGCGACCCAGGTTTTCAGAGCCAATTGGGGGGAACGGGCAGGATTTGGGGGGGAACCATTGGGAACCGAAGAACTGAGAACAACTGCAATTGTATCATCCAAAGCCAATCCATGCCTCTACGGATCAAAGCCAATGTCGACTGTTTAGGAATAGACGGAGATGTAAAAACATTTCTGGTAGGAGGGGTCATGTATTAATCAGATGTTTGAGTTTTCACCAATTGACCTCTCATTCCTTCCCAGTGCATCCAACTGCGCCCCATCCCAGGACGTTCCGCCGAGGCCCTGACCTTTTCACGTTGAGCACACTCCTGTCGGGCCTTCCTTGGAGCTGGGCCATGACCAGCATGGAGGAAGTCTCTCCAGGCCGCTGGTGGGAGGCTTGAAGGGAAGACCCAGTTGTTTTCTCCAAATTGGTTAAGCAAATGATGTTCAACCGATGTCTAGAGACGATGTTCCAGTCAACCAAATGAAGGTATTGAAATCCCTGAACGGGGAGAGACTTGTCCATGTGCTGTAGCTGCGGCTCCACTGCTTGGAGATCTATCTAGCTGCTAGAATCTGGCCCGGCGACTCGTTGAAGCTCCAGGTGTTGCAAATCTTATATACTGTAGGTGCTTTCCACATTGACCGATGGTGTACTAGAAGTTTATTCTCTATCTGTTGTGGTATCTATTTGGGACCTGCTATGCTACATTATTCTTGCACAACGAGGCCTAGCTGTGTGGCAGCCCCTTTATTAGGGTGAGTTAAGCAATGTGACCGGTGCAAAGCTGTGTCGGTGTGTACTACGCCGCACATGTTCAATTAGACAACGAATTGCTTGATGTTTGCTTGATGAATTGCTTGTACTCACCGAACATCAGCTTGAGTACACACCGGCCTGTACTCTAGCTCTCTTGAAGAGAAGCGATCGAACTGGACCGAACGTGTCGAGTGGACCGAACTGGCCAGCCGGTCCCAGGAGTGAGGAGAAATGCCGGGAAGCTGAGACAGGTCCGAACTGAACAAGTCAGAACGGGACAATGGTTCCAAGGTCCTACAGGCAAGGCATACGACATAGGCACAATCAAAGCATAGCAGGGGGCCAAGAGTGGGTGGCCATTGGTGGCCATGTATAGTAAGTTATACAACTTGGCTCGTGTAATACAGCAAACAGTGGTGTGGGGGGATTCGCAAACCGTTTCACCACGAGCCAAGCGATTCCGCGGGGCGATTCTCAGGTGCAAAGCTGGGGCGCTTTGCTTGGGACCTTCGCTCCGAGTGCTTTGTGGGAAATGGCCATCAGCACGCTGAGGAGCACGCTGAGGTGGGTGTGTGACGGCCCTGTTTCTAAATCCCTTGTCCCCATGCAGCGAATAAGACACGGGTCTAAATCCAGCACCGATGTGCCAGTCGTCCATGGAAAGCAGCGGGCTATCCCCAAACAGGAATGTACCTGGCACCTAGGATCAACGTCAGAGTAGGCCATCAACAAACCTAACAGATGCAGTAGTTCCCAGCTGTGTCGCACCCTGTCAGCTTGAGCATTTGATGATAGCGGTGCAGCCTCGCAGGAGCATCCCTGATGGACTGAACCTCACCATGATGAACATTATCTTGAGCGCCCTGGAAAAGGGTAGCCGATGGCAGGGTGCCCTTACAAACCTCCAGGCCCACTCTTGGCTCGCATTCTAATTCTTGGGTAATTAGGCTGCAGAAGGTGGCCCTGAAGTGCAAGGCGAAGTAAACATGGATGAGCCTTAAGGCTTGTGAGACAAGGGAGTTTCTTCTTCGGGAGCCCCTTCATCTAAGCTAAAGCTAAACAGGATTGATCTATAAAAAGTCTTGTGGCTCCTTCAGTTCACCACCCTGCGTCCCTCACTTTGCAATCGACTGCGTCCCTCACAGCACTTCAGGCAGGTCACGAGCAAAGCCTCCAAGTGGACTCCATTAGCTTGAACTCGGCCCTCATGTCCTGCCGGCAAGTTCAGTGCCTTGTTTGGATCCGAACGCGTGAAGTCATAGATGAACTCATGACTCCCAACCCATGGTGTCATGGTGGTCTGGCGTGAAGGTTTGACAACAGGGAGAGGACAAAATGCAGAGTCTCCACTCCATGTTTCTGGCTGTGTCATATTAAGTTATGTTGGCTCAATCCCGGAGATCAATGATTCATGTGTCATATTAAGTCATGATTCGTACGATCTCACGATATTCCCATCGTTATCTTTCCGCATCATCATGTCTCATCTATTCCGATACGCGCGGGTAGCATTGGCTTCCCTTCCTCCTTGGTGGCCGAGGAAGTGGGCAGAGGCCATGAGCAGCTAAGCTTGAGTGGACAGAGGCCGTGAACGCCGCTCCCAATGTTCGGTGCCGTCGTGGCTGTTGGGACTCCAAGGGGTGCAGTGGTTCGTGTTTGCGCTGCAGATCACAGGAAGTGGATATAAAGTTAAAGAAGGACCTAAACAAAGCCCATGCCATGGCAATATGAGGTGGCAGGATATTGGAGGTACGCTTGGGCAAAAGCACTGACACTGTCCGTAACTTATCTAAGGTCTAAGGTGTATACAGTATTACTGCGGAACCCAGCAATACAACGAAGCTAAGAAATCACTTCTCCAAGCAAGTGTGGTTGGCCAGAGGGGTTCAACTTGTTCAGCTTGGGTTCACCAGGCTCACACAGCACAGTTGGACATCCGTGATCGCACGCGACATCGGCTGAGGTATATTGAAGCGTTGTTTGCGAAATGCTATCAAGCCTACTGACATCACCCTGAATAGCCTTCTCAGCTCCTGGGTCGCTCGGCTGGAGTTTGTTTCCTTTTTCCAGTTTGTTGAATGCAGGCAAGCCTCATGTTTGACCTTGACACACTGGTGAAATACTTGGGCAAATTCCTGAACACCCTTTGGCATTCTGTTCCATTCTTTGCAACTACCTTGAAACCACATGAAGTGGCATGAATGACATCATCCAAGTATACTCCACCACCTACAGCTCAGAGATCTTCATAACCTCAGATGTTCTGAACATCCTGCAGCTGACTTCTTTGGACCGGATTGCGGAGGACACCGGCACCCAGTGGCTTCGCGCTTTGCACTTCCTCCACAGCGAGTCCGACTGGAGGCACGGAATGACAGCGGAGGCACGGAATGCGGCGCTGAGCAGCTGTGTGAAAGCCTCGAGACTCGGCAGAGTGGATGATCTTCGTGGGAGACTGAACCATCTTCTGAGATGGACCAAGCCAACCGACTCAGAATTTGTAGTCATTGATTCTGAAGAGGTGGGTAGTGATGTTGACCAAGTCAGAATTTTCATGACGGGCTGCCTAAAGTTTGTATATGTTGTTGTCCTGCGCCCTTTATGGAGTGTATGAGTTGTTGGAACGTTCAGCGAATGTGCATATGTCTGCGATAGTGCTTAGAGAGGCTTGAAAATTCTGGTTTAAACAACATGTTACTAACCCTGAATGCTAAAGGACCTGGCGTTTTGTGCTGGAGCTGGTGCCAGCAGATGAAGCTGGTGGGGCCCCTAGCAGTAGCTGACGAGGTGTCCACGCACCACTTTGCACAAAGAACTGCTCAGAAAAAATTGACACCCTTACGTAGGGGCAGACATCGTGGCTTTGTGTGAGAAGAAGCAAGCACCCGTCAGTCTTCAATCAATGATCATTCACTATGAACCATCCCCATTTTGCACCAGAATAGTTGGTGCTTGCCTACGCCACAGATTGTAGGCCTTGGCACCTTGATGACCACCAGCTGGACCTATGGGCTTTGGCTTTTGGATCACTCTTTGTTGGAGCCGCACTCTAGTTGCAAAGCAGGGGTGTTGTTGCGCTGGCTTGCTGCAAGCAAAGGTTCATCTATATTCCAAATCAACGGTGTTCATCTCACGTGATTTGCTTACAGCATTGGAACAAGGATTAAATTGATTAAGTGCATTTATTGTACCATTAATGGGATATACCGGAAATACCCAATGCATCGTCCACATATGGAACCGTTTCGAGCCGTCTCGAGCAACAAGGTATATAGGTCATGCCCCAACGAAAGTCTGAGAGCATAGTACTTGTTTGGGCACGAAGCATGGCGCATCGCCTGTTTTTGTGTTTGATTGGTGATGCTGTGTACCATGGCATACTTGGATTCTGGATAGCAGGGCAGCGTATGCGGCGCATGCATCAACATTGTGGGACAAAAACAAGTGGGGTGTGCATTTGTATGCTGCATATACATGAAATTTGTATTATATAGATATAGCATAAGAAGATACAAAGGTAGTCCAAGTATGTGCTAGGTACCCACCAAAGGTTCATGACACAGTGTTGGCTTCAATAGATGTCAGACTGTGTTGTATTCAATGAGGTTCAGCTCTTCATACCAGAGCATTCTTTGGGACGCGGAGCCTGGTCGGTGGGCGCCTCCGCTCTTCGAGAGGAGTCCAACGGGTCGAGGTGGACAGCCTGCTGGCATCCAGCCTCCAGATGAAAGCATGTTCAGGATGATGAACACATGATCTTTTTTGTTGAGAATGATTCTATATGATTCAATAGTATATTGGAAAGTTCGAAATCAATAGTATATTCGAAAGTTCGAAAAGATCTCGACGTTACGCCAAAAACTAGGGTCCAACGTTGGGTCCACCTGGCAGGATCTCCCGCCGAACGCGCTTCGTGCTGGGCCTGGCAGCCTGGCGGCCTGGACCGGGTGAGATTGACGTGGTTTCCGAGTTTGGCTCTTTGAATTGGACAATCCTTCTTTGCCTGGCGGATCACTCCTAGGATGCCTCAACGCAGCGCGGCAGCCTGACTCCACTACGGATGGATGCCAGACCCAAAAAATGCGAGCAAAGTCGGTGTAGGGTGTGCCAAGAATCAGACTTAGAAGGGGACAGACTTGTCAGACTTGATGCTTGGCAAAGTACTGTATGGCCTTCCTACTTGGGAAGGCCTATTTTTTGCGATTTGATGGACCGTAGGGTCGCCTGGAATTGGAGTGAAATTTGCAGGGCTAGAGTTTCACCCGTACGTCGAGAGCTTGAAACCGGGGCCTTGTTGCCATGTCTTTGTGAACGCACATTTTGTTGGGTTGAATTGCCTGGCAGGGGTGAACTGGAGTTGTGAAGAGCTGTTCTATTTTCGTCGTTCTTGAGCCCTGCAAAAGAAGTGCATTTGGACTAGAATTGCACCAATTTTGCCTGAGAGTCCAAATCCAGGTCATAGAGTAGCACAAATCGCTGGGTTTGTTGTTCCGGAAGGATCCTGTTGGCACCATGGTTCAGGGAATTGATGGAATCGGCGTCCAATGGGCCATCCCCAAGATGCATCAGAATGTAGACAAATTCAAAGCAGAATCCTGCTGGGATGTTCAGCCTTTTGCACTATAACTAAATCTCGTCCTTCGACCAAAGTTTGTTGGCTCCTCCTCCAGCCAAATCCATCAATTTCAATCTCATCAATTGCCCGTGGCAAGCACGACATGCTCATGGCGGTCGGCTCATCGAGATCAGCGGATGGCACGCCCTGGCTGCCCGAGCTGCTGGCAGAGGAGGATCTCCCCACTGAGCCTTACACCACAGAACCCAAGCCACAGGCTGGGCTCAAGAAGCAGAGGTACGAGACAAAGTCGGGAAGTTTTGGGACGTCAGTTGAGGAAACCAAGATGAATCATGTGTCGCTTGTTTCACTTTCACTACCTAGTCGCGCATGTGATCTCCCATTCTACCAGCCCACCCCACAGCCCAGCTTCATGTTGCAGGTGGAGGTGGTGGCTTCTACACGAAGCTTTCGACAACTGGCCAAGTGTCGACCTCATGCAGGAGCTTTTGGGCTGCCTTGGCCGGGATGGTTGTGCAGTTGGGGGCAGGCTCCAGGGGGGACCACTCCCCAAATAAGCTTCTTTAGAGATAGTGGCCTTAGACATCCACAGTGACAGTGCCTGTTTGCGAAAGACACTCGTACGACTTCAGCCTCAAAACCAAAGAACTGCGAAGTTCTTGCAGGGTGCTTCCACGACGTGCCAAAACCCCCGGGGGTTCTGGTTCTTTTCTTCTGACCACCGTCCGTCGTAGCCACCGAGCGGACCCACACGACACACCAAGGATCGAATCCTGGAGATCGGCTGCTGCTTCGGCCAATGCACCGAGCTCCTGGCCGCGGGCGCCGCGGAGGTCTTGGCACTGGACACCTCCAAGGAGAAGGGTGGTCAGCGGCCCCCAGATTCATGCGGGGAGGAAAAGGGAGATTCTTATGGGAGATGCACTAGTTTTTTTTTTGGGAAATCCAATGAAATCATATATGAATTCTGTATATAGAAGTTTTTTTTGTGATATTTTGTGGTTAAGTTATATAGTATATACTGATAACATGTTATACAGTGTACAGTATACATAACGGTTGCTATTGTTTGGAAATGGTTTCAGTTTACATATCTTGGACAAAAACGGGTGGTTTGGATTTCACGAGTGGCTTGGCTCCAACACCAGTAGGTAGTGCGAAACATGTATCGCTAGCATCATAGGATATCGTCATAGTAATCGTTTTCTTTGCAGGGATTCGAACATCTCAAAAACATGTTCTGGAGACCCCACTTCTTCCAGCAATCTCTCAGTAGTCTGCAGCCAATGACCAGCTACCAACAAAAAGGTTGCTGCAATCCACTAGGACCCTCGTGAGCCCTGAATCCTGCGGACCAGCCGGAAAACCCAAGCTGGTGTGAGGCAGACTAGGTGGGCTTTCAAGGCGGATCAGTACTGTGGATACCCCCGGAGGGTCCGGTTTCGCGGCCAGAGGAGTGCGTGGCCCTGACGGCGCAGCGCTTGAGCGAGGCGGAGGTGGGGGAGTGGCAGTCGGTCCAAAAGAGTATTGAGTACGTTGAGTATACCCCCAGGCTGATTTGTTAAGGCCTTTAAATGTTCAAAAAGAGTTCTGGGGGTTGGGCGGTACAGGGCACAAACCCATAGACTCATAGACCACTGTGACACTCCCTGAAACAATCATGGAAGTAGATGGCATGGTTTTCTTGGATGACTATGGTCCGAATACCACACAGTTGGTGCTTCCACTTCCATGATTAGTTATTTCAGGGAGTGTAGAGTGTAGCAGATGGGTTCTTTAACGGGCCTATAGTTATATCCAAACCCCCTGCGCGGGGTTGTACCACCCACTTTAACAAATCTTTGACGCCTTTGTTTGTCACGACCTACAACACACAGCAGTTGGAATATCCTCTAGAGTTCTTTGATCGAGTACAACCACAGAGCATCAAAGACATGAGTGAACATACAAGGCCACGAGGGGGCTGGGTATGGCAATGATTTCTTTTGATCCTCGGCCAAGTCCTGTGGTCGTGCTTAGGTCGCCGTGGCACGGAGCTTGCGTTTGGATATTTTGGCACACCCGGAGTACTTGAGGACGATCGCCTCCTGCCAACCTCCTTTTACGGTGGTTTTTGCTGATATCGGTGGCAACCGTGAGCTGGCCCATGTGTTGCAGCTCTTTCGGTTGCTCTTTGCACACATGGCCGAGTTGCGATACCTTGCTGTGAAAAGTGAAGCCTTGGCCATGGAGCTTAGTAAGGCTCCCCTTGATCCACAGAAGCGGTTGGCTTGGTGGCAGCAGTTGTGCTGCCCACCGGCACGTTTGGCGAAAGCGCCCCGGCGCATGCAACAGATCTTACAGCGGCCTATCCAGAAGACGCCTCATGGGCTGGAGATTTGCCGCTTTGCAAACTATGGGGTGTGCTCGAAGGGCAATGACTGCCGGTATGACCATCAGCATTGCCACCGCTGCTTAAGACCTGGACATTGGGCCACTAGTTGTGATCAGCCAGAAGTTGAGGCCAGGAAGCAGCGAGGGAAACATGGAAAAGCATCAACTGTGGGAGTAAACGAGTAGACATCTCTAATGCACCTGTTTGCGCATATGATATGTGTGTCACATATGCAAGGATAGTTGGCCCACAATCCAACCAAAAAAGAAACGATGTGTGGGGCCATGGGGACAAATGGGCTTGCATGGAGAACACACGGCTGCAGAAAGGCTGAGGTGCTGCATGCCCTCCCTGCATCAGCATCACACTTTGTTTCACGCAGGATGCTTCATCAGCAACACTAAAGCACCCGTGACAAGACCTGCAAAATCGAACGCAAACACCCAGTTTTGCTTCCCGAGCTCTTAAAAAGTTCACTCTTGAGCTGGTCATGTCCGTGACTGCCCAGAGTTCGCCCATAAAACACCTCAGGTCTCCAGCGAGGAGACCTACAGCCAGTGCTCCGAGGTGGCCGAGCGCCTCCACGCCGCGTTGCGTGCGGGGCGGAAAGAGCTGCGGGCGGAAAAGAGCTGTGAAGAAACACCGGGAAGCGCCTGGTGGGTTGCGGAGGTCAGGGTCAGCATTTTGGAGGAGCGGATGGGTTGGAGGAGGTTATCAGAAAGGCAAGAGGAAGCTGTTGTTATGTTTGGGAGGTGAAGGTGATTTGCAAGCTCGGCAGCTTTGAGCGGGGTTGGAGCTTGAGAGTGGAAAAGTGGTTAGATTGGTCGGCCAGAGCTGGAGTTTTCGAACTCGAGAGGGTGTTGTGGGTTTTGACGAGCACCAGGCCCCGCCTGTAAAACTCGGAGAGAGAGAGAGAGAGACACCTGCAAAACGACCATGGGAGTTTGAAGGTGCCACTGGCAGAGAAAGTGCTGCGGAAAATATAAGGCCGGTCTTAGAGAGAAGAACGGAATGGCGGAGACTCCGGATTCTCCATTAGCGGACACAACAAGATTGCGAGATGATTCATCCGGATCGCACCGGCTTGGATCGCGGGCATTAGGTCTTGGTCCTGGTGTGACGTCCATGTCCGCATCATTTGCCAGCGACACCAATTCATCATAATTCATTGCAGAGGCGAGGAGTGGGACGCCATGTCCAGTGAGTTGAAGGAGTTCTTTGCCGTCCTGCTGCAGATTGCCAGAGCCTGGGTTGCTAAGGAAATCTAACAAAGTCTTCAACTCTTGGTTCAAGAACCATTTCAACTGGCTAACTCATACTAACTCTGTATAATTAACATAGCAATGAATCATGAATCTGCTTTCCTGTATGAGTCCAAGGATGGATCTTGGACGTGACTCTAACGATTATTTGCCTGGTCTTGCTGCTTTTTGCGGCTTGTGTGCCTTGACGCCTTCCCTTTCTCCTGGGAGCCTTCCAAGCTGAGAGCCTGTACCTGTTCCAGACGGAATGCGCGTCGCAGTTCGGCTACTCTTTGCTGGACTTGGTGGCTGAGCGAAAGCATGGACAATTTCCCCACCCACGCTGCCTTAGCCGACATTCTATTTTGTAAACTCTTACTTTTAACAACTTTCTGAATGCATCAAGATGCGTCAAGACAAATTGGATGAGCATTTGGACCTCCGAATCCGCTGGCCCGGCCACGTGAGGTTCTTCTGATTTGGGTGCTGCCTTCCTTGCTATGGTTCCCCCGCTGGCCAGGCGTGTGCTCGGCCGTCAAGGCAGGGCGGCGAGAAGTTGGGCCACTCTATCGCAATGAAAACTACGACACTCACACCAGTGGCTTGGATCGTGGCACGGACGAGTCGCCTTCGGAGGAGTCGCCTTCGGACGGTCTGCGCGAAAACTCGCGGGCGGTGGCCGTGCTAGCTTGAGGAGGAGTGTGGTGTTTTCATCCCGTCTTGCAAAAACGCTGTTGAACAGTATGCTGCATGTTTTTCATAAAGAGTTCAATGTGGAATCTCAAAGCTTCCAGGCTCATATCGATAGTGACAAGCACAGTATACTGCACATTGTATAATGGACATATGACATGCAGTAAGTCTTATACAATCTTATACACCTGTAGCTTGCGAAGATGAGCCTTTTCAACTTCTTGAAACGCCTGTTTTCCCATGCTTCGCTGCTCCCATTTTTCAGCTAAGATCGTTCCTTTGATCCAAGGAGAGGTCTGGTTCCTCCATGCCTTGGAAAGCTATTTCGATCTCCTGGCGTTGCCCTTCGCTTTGGCCTTGCTGTTGGCACCCTGGCGATGCACCTCGCTGCACACCGAGGACTTGAAGCGCACACTCTCGCACCGCAACACCTGTGGCGAGCAGCTCTCGGCCATACGTCGCTGGGCCTTACTGTGGCGAACGTGGAATAAGAAAAACAAGGACCAGACTGAAAAGGACTGAAAAAGGTCTATTTGACACCGTTTTGCCTTGGATCCTTAATTGCATTTGGTTCCAGATGCTCAGGTGATTGGGCTTTTTGTGCTGGGTTTGGTGCCATCATTGACCTGCCCTTCATTGCGATTGCTTTGGTGTCACTTTGTGTTCCAACACGACCCTCAATCATGTCCATGTTTTTTTTCCTTTTCGCATTTTACACCTTTTTGCAACTTTGTGGGTGAGCTTGGTCAACAGCATTTGCAAAGTTGGCTGGCCAACTAGCGACCATCCAGGACTTATGGCATTGCTGTCGGTCCTCTTTCTCAGACACGGATTTCATGACAAAACGAGTGACTGGGAAGCGCGTTGCTATTTGCTCCTTCTTCCAGTCTTGTCGCCACTCCGCCCGCAGAGTCAGACGTTGGCTGAGACAAGATATGGAGTCTATGACAATCAAGATGCAAGATTTGAAGGAAGATTCTGAGTGAGAGTTGTGCCAAGCATCTTGGTCGTGTGTCCCAAGGTTGGTTGACGTGATGGCTGGTTTGTTGGCTTATGCTGCCATGTTGAATCCTTTGCGCGCAGACACGCTGCACCAGCTTCTTTCCTCAAGTTGGTACGCCGACCCGGAATCTTGCTGTTGTTTCGACTCTGAAGTTCAGTCTGCTGCGCGCTGGAATGCACACCTGCGCGGGATTGCGATCAAGACAGGCAGGAGACAAGACTTGGTTCGAGTCGAGGTTTGTTATGGCTATGGTTTGTATTTTTGTGGAATATACATGAATATAAACTGATATAACACAAGGTGTATCAAAGTGCTATCATAAAGCCATTTGTCAAGGTTTATCCTCAGCCCATCCAAATCCGAATCCATGATGTGGATTGTTCTCAAACCCTGACACTGGTGTTGCTGTGCCCGGCTAAGCCCCCGACAGCGCCCGCAGGTTTGGCATCCTTAATGGACTTCTTGCTGTTCCCAGTGGGACTAGTTCTTGGCCTCACAGTCTACCGAGCAGGTCTGGCTGCAGCGCCATATCGGTACATAGCCCACCATCTAGCTGCTAGTTTACAAGCGTTTCCAGAGCCTCGACTTAGGACCCATATTCTGGAGAAGAAGGGACTAGTAGCTTCTTGTTACTAGTTGTAAATTAGCTACTAATAGCGATGCACTTGTTCCTAGTAGTGCCCTTAGCTACTAGTAGCTTCTTGTTACCATATACATGCCATATACATGCAAAGTCATGTAAAGTTTGTCAACTTTAAAGGCTCTCAGAAAGCCGCGGTGTGGCATTTGTCAATGTTTGTGCGATTGTTGTGGTGCGTTCTTTTCGGTCCTGGTGCCAACGCAGGCCCCTTGCTGAAGGCCCTTTGGGGCTACGACGAGCTTGGTGAACCCATTTTGGAGGAGTCTCTTCCCATCTCCCGGATTCATGCCATCATCATGAAGCTTGGCCAGAAACAAGCCCTTTGTGTTGTAAAAAAAAGGCGGCCCTCAGTTGTTGTTCGGGTTAACGTGTGAAAGTGCGTTGGGTTCCAAGTCCCGAAGGGTTCGGATTCTCCACACGAAACGGTGGGGTGTTTTTTCGCCGATCGAAACGCTGGAGCTGTTGGGTCCAAAACAACGCGCTGTCGGGAACTGCAAGGCTTGGCTGAGCTTGTATTGGCTTGGCTTTGAACACGTCTTTTTGAAAGAACGGCCTTTTGGAGGTATGATTCTGACATTTTGCATGATTCCTGCTCTCCTCCGTTCACTGAAACGAGGAAGCAATTTGCCTTGCTGCTTTTGGACCTGTTGACTCTGCCAAGTTTGATTTTGGTGCTTTTAACCGGGTACCGCTGTAGCGCCACGCAGCATCTTATGGAGAGGATGAGAGCAAGGACCGGGACAGCAAGACTATGTAGACATAGAGATGCATAGAGGCCTCTTTGTTCAACAAGCAGAAAATAGCCACTTCAATGTCCAGCTACTGGCTTTGGCGAACGCCGGGAGGAATTATGGAGCTATGGCGTACCATGTCGCAGTTGTGAGCAACTCATTGGTGATCATGCATGATGCTTTCCTGGCAGTATGCTCCTTGACACTCCTCCTTACCGTCTACCGTCTCCCGCGCGTGATTCGTGTGCTGCAGCGTCAAGGTGTGAGCAGCGACAGTGACAGCGGCAGCGAGAGCGACAGCAGCACCAGCAGCAGCTCCAGAATGCGTTTGAAGATATGGCAGGACACGGTGTCAACGAGTAAACCTTTTGCGTGATAGCAATGTCACATTGTAATATCATCACAGCGAATTGCGGCAATGATTTCCAAGTCTTTAATTTTAATGTCCTTAGATTTGGCATGATTTGGCCACCGCAACTCACCACAAGAAACACTGACACACTCACACAGCAATGTTTGATTGATATGTTTGATATGTTTGGAGGAAATTGGGCACCTTCTCTTGGATTTGCCGCTGCTGCCCCTTTTGCTGATCCTACTCCTCACAGTCTGGAGGGCTGATTTAGTGCTTCAAGAGATATGGCACGCTGAAAGCGACTGTGAGGGAACCTGGGCCAGATGAAGCCCTCCTAATCCCATTTCCTCAACATAACCCCCCTTGCGATACAGGAGCATGTCACATATGTCACTCTATTTTTCAGATTTATACATTCACACTATACCTTGTGTTCACCCGCCCTTTGGGGGCAAAAAACATGTGACAAATGGACCAAGGTTTCAGATCGCTTAGACACTGTGAGTTCATAGAGCCGTGACGAACGATTTGCCCTCGAACGGAGGTCTCTTAGAGTTGGTCTGTTCTCCGAGGTCCCGAGGTCCCAAGGAACACTGACTGATCCCCCCAAAAGCTCATGAGTTGGCTATGTTGCCTTCCCACCAAACCGATGGGCTACAACGGTGCCGGTCCAGGAAGGAAAGTTGTGGCGCTGCAGTTTCTGGAGCTCCTTCGCGACATGCTTGCCTTTGTCGCCTTGCTAATTCTGGCCGTGACTCTGGTGAGGCTTCCCAAGGTGGGAGGAGAGACGAGTACGAAGAGAGTCTTCACAGCGAGTTCAGAGAGTTTCACAGTTCGGAGTGAGTCTTGGTGGCACAGGTTGTGCCACAGGGGAATTGCAAGAAAACATCGACTAACAAGCCTGATAAGCGCTTCCTTTGGATAATCTTGGAGGTGTTGCATGCCCTGGGCAGTGGTTTCTGCTCCAACAAAAAAACTTGGCAGATTGTAACCTGCGCAGTGTCTTCCCTACAAGATTGTTTGTGTCTGCCAGGTGCTTTTGGACATTTATGCTCAACGCGCCAGCCGCCCATCCGCACCATTGCAAGGGGATTCGCTGTGAGCGCCACAATGGGTACATTCTGGTGTTCAGCCGATGCCATTTTGGGTTACTTCCAATGTATTTAAGCGTGGGGGGTGGTAGTCCAACATCCACTTCCAATACTACTGGTAGGTGTTCCTGGGTTGCATTGCTTTGACACTATGTAGGGCAGGCTGCAAACCCTTCACCCGTTCATGAAGATCAGTCAAAAACATTCAAAAACCATATTACAAAGCCCATGAGGGACAGGTCTAAAACCAAGCAAGCCTTGAAGCTGCGGCGGGATTTTCGAAACCAACAGATGTTCGTGTTTTCGGTAGCGTCGGGGTGACTTGACCCACAGCCATTTGAGGTGCATTGGCCGTCGCTCCGTGTTGAAACCTTGTTGAGATGGCTGGATCCACATGTCCGACATCCAAGTGATGATGTGTTGATCATGTTTGATCCGGCGCGGAGGTTGAACATGATGGAACTCAGAATTCATATCAGCTACAATATCGATGTTTGCTACATTTTTCCACGCACAGTATTTTCAATCAATCTCAGGGTTCATTCTAACAGATTTGATGGTAAAAAATATTCTAAACTAGGGTTTTCATTCTAATCCACCAACAAGTTTAAGACTTTTCAAGTTCTGCAGTTCTTTTTCTCACGTGCCTGAAGGCTTGGACTCGGCTCAGGACCGGCCACCGGGACGCCGCGCCTGGCGCTGCGGAGCGTGCAGGTGGCCGCGCCCAACGACGACCGGCTCACCTGGTACGTGGCGGCGGACCAAGAGTCCTCTCGAAAGCGGACGCCTGGCGTGCCACGCGCGGCGTCAAACCCGCCACGCGTCACGCGCCCACGGTGCCAAGGATTTGAGGCATGTCGGTTCAACAGAGGAGCTTTTCCGGTGACGGGTCCGACGGTCGGAATCGGGGAAGCAGGGGCTGTGTTTTGGCTTAAGGGGTGGCGTGAGAAGGCCAGGAATTCATCCAAACATGGTCCGAATCGTCCTTCGCTACTGTGGGAGGGCTTGTGAGGTTGATTTCACCAATTGGACCAACCACATTTCCAAAGGCCTCAGCTTGCCTCAGCGTTTCTTGGATAAGTATGATGGATAAGAGTTATTTGTCTCCCTTGGTTGCTAGGGTGGAAAGACACGTCGAACGTTTCCATTGGTCGCCGTCAGGAACGAACTGGGCGTCATTCGCATCAACGTCATCTCGCAAGCGTTTTGGGAAGACATCGGTCGTGTCTTTGGGACGGCGGTGGCTTGGTTCAGTGGAGTCGGACGGGGTGCGGATGGAAAGGCCCCTATGAAAGAGTTCCCGCACCAACCAGCCAGTTGGAAGGCCCCAATTCGGGAGAGTGTATAGGTGGAACCTGGTGGAACATGGTTCCCCTCATGTGGTCAAATCGAAGGTGCTAATCGATCAGTGGCACCTCCTCGGGGCCTCTATACCTCGCTCCAGGTGTCGAGCCTGGGAAAAGCCTTGCTGCCCTACACTCTTCAGGAAGGCAAGCATTTCGAGCACCTGGTCTATGCTCGCAACTATTTGCTGGTTAAATTTTCCAAGCCCAAAAAACATCAAAAAACGACGCTGACCTGCGCGCCGCAGCATGGAGAGCAGGTACAATGACCTCCTGCCTCAAGCTGTTCAGATGGAGCTGAAGATTGGTGGGGATGAACTGAAGAAACGGCTATTGCAGCTGGATGGAGACATGACCATGTGTGTGCAGATCGAGCACCCTGGCGGGAAAAGAACATGACAATACATGACACGTGGAATCGGCCGTGGCTGGTGACCGGTGGCCGCAGGTCGGTGGCCGCTGGTCGGTGGCCGCGGGCCGCTGGCCGGAATACAAAAATTGTTAGAGTATGTTATATTGTCCTAGTAGAACAACACAGAGAGACTGCCCTAGGCACAGAGCGCCGGATGGTACGGAGGAGGTCATGGGGCGACTTCCGATTCCAGCACGTGTCCTGCACGATGCGATACGACGTCCTGAAACCGTTGTGCAGGCGTGGGATGCTTCATATGCTGTCAAACCGGCTGCGCAGAAGAAATGTAAATGTCGTTGGATTGAATCATGTAGTAGATGATTTCAAGAATAGGGGGTGACATGGGGGTCGGGTGACATATCCAATCATCATTCAATCAGGATGACTTTTAATGACCTGCCACGTGTTCCACTAGACCGGCTTCCGTTTGGCCAACGTTCCGCCCATGCGGTGGGTTCGCATCGCTCATGGGGCTGAGTAGGGAATGGTGGTGGGGTATTGCCAAATCATTCCATTTCGCACATATTTGCAAGTTCTGGCATTTTCTAGGAACAAGAAGCTACTAGGGGCTCCTGGCATCGCTACTAGGAGCAAGAACGCTACTAGGAACAAGATACACCCACCAGAAAAGCTTTGAGATGCCATGGCCCACCAGACCGAATCGTGAAGCCGTAACTCGCTTCAACTCTTGCAGTAGCCTCTCTTTTTCATGACTCCAATTGAGCGCTCGATTGTCTCCAAGAGTAGCCAAGCCGCTGCAAGGTTCCCATCGTTCGTGTTCAGAAAGTGGTGTGGCGCTGTGCTTCTTTGAGTTTTAACTGCCAAAAAGCCGGTCCAGGTTCCAGAGGAGTTCATTGCTGCTGCCAGATCGCCAGATCTTCTAGAAGCCGTTTGCGGGCCTTTGTTATCTGGATCGGGCATTCGAAACTTCTCTAGAAAAATCTTTGAGCCGGCTGACCATGATAGATGGATTATGATGGGTTCAATGTGCTGAGACCTCTGCCCATGGCCCATAGCCCAAGTCCTTTGTGCACCTCCAAGGAAACGGTCTTTGGATATGTGCTTTCCGCGAATTGTGGCAGCTTGTCCTGGATTTATTGCATTTGCTGCTTGGCTTCAATTCTGGATTCAGCTGATCCTGAAAGTGGGTCTGTGTGGTGTCTCTCAGCTGACTTTGGTTTTATATTGCCTTCCAAGGCAAGAGTTTTAGACAGGAAGAGTTGGCGGACTTGGTGGTCTGTATGAGAACCAGGTAGTCTTCATTCCTTGAGTCTTAGGCTGCTCTTCCTCTTGCTACTGGCCTCACCCTTGCGCCTCATGCAGTACCTCTACTTCGCGGGCTCTTCAAATCAGGCCGGGATTGTAGGCTTAAGTGGCCACGAGTGCCCTATGGTGAGCCAATCTTGGAGGTGCTTGGCGTACGTATGCGTAGTTGAGTGTGCGGAACTCCTTGGATATTCACAGGTGACCTCAAGGGGTTAAAGTTTGCATAGAGGTGCACGTGCAGAGCATATTTTGGTCGAGTTGGGGCTTCAATTTGTCCCGTTTGCTTCTGTTTAATTTTGGTGTTCAGTGGAAGCTTTGATCAATATATATATATATATTGTTCCCTTTGATCTCATGTTGTGTCAGTTGCCTCTCTCAGGCTTGGCTACGCAAGCTAACTCGCCAGATGGTCAGCGTTCTATATCTCAAGGAAGCTTGATTAGGGTTAGCATTGTGCTTTCTCTCAGACCGCCCCGTGCTGATACTTGAAGCTTAGTTCTGGATAAAGAGAAGGAATCTATGTCCCACGAACTTCGCGGCCCCAGCAAAAGACCTTGAAATCCAGACAAGAACTATTGATAAAGTCATTGGTAATGTGTTGTTGTGTTGTCAAATTTCCCGCAGCTGCAGGCTCATGGAAACGGCAATGGCTCCGCAACAGAGCTCATGCAAGGTGTATGATTTGTATCAATATTGAAGGCCTCACTATTTGGAACATATATATATATATATGAACCTACTCGTTTATTCTTTTGATCAGACTTTCCAAGATTCCCTCACACATTACCAGGTTGATCCGAAAGCCACTCGCAATTCCGCGTTGACTTGTCATGGCTGATCCGGAATGGAAGACCAAGGTACGGACCGTAGTAGCTACCGCAGTACAAACTAAACAGCTATATACCGAGGCTAACGGCTAACGTGTCCCAAAAATACTACTAAGTTACTTACTTGGAGGCTTTGCACCTGATTGTAAGACCCTGCGCGGCACCTAAAAGTTCCTTCCGCTCATGAGCAAATAGAATGACTCAATGACCAATTCACCGGTTGTCCACTGTTCCATTGTTGTTCACATAGCGCTCTGAACATGTTGTACCTGCATTTCCTATAAACTATAATAGGTTTTTGCCATTGTTTTCTATGTTTCTCCATGTTTCTCCCATGCAGTTTCCCGGGTACATTCCTAAATTATCCTAAATTCAGTTTCTTGCTCTGCTTTGTCCAAGCCAATGTCGATGTGGCGCAAGACTCGATCAACAGTTTTCAGCACAAGCATTCAAACGGTTGACAGAATGGGAGGCCTTATACTAAGCCTTAGACTGTTTTATTCAAAAGCTGCGACCTCAGACCGAACCTTCTGAGGACAGTATGCTGAGGATGTACCGGGGCCTGGGGCTGGAGCCAGCTTTGAATGCTGCGGCCAAGGATCCTCCTAGCAGGACTCGGACTGACTTGCAGGTATGGTTGACCTAGAGTTCCATGAATGATATGACAACTGACAACTGCATGGATCTATAATGATCTATATATAACCATAGTTCAAGCAAAACCTGGCAATTTGGATGTTTTTGCAGTGATGTTTTTATGCCGAAGGGAGCATCCAACCAACCTATAGAGTAGGGACAAGCTACTACGGAGCACGATTGGGTGCATGAATCCTGATTTGCGATTATAGAGGCCCTCCAATTGGTTTGATTCTATCCTCTTTTGTGGGATCACTCGCTGGGTGCAAAATTCTCAATTCGCGTTGTCTCGCGGGAAACGAAGACCTCCCAGTGCTTGGGAGATTTGGCCTCCAAGCTGATGCAACAAACCACCTGGCCCACGGGTGCGTCCTTGCTCCGAGAGCTAGAGGCACATCCGGAGACCCAGGAGTTCGCGAAAAAGGCCCTGAGGCCAGGCATGGCCATCCCATGCCAGTCAGCAGCGAAGGTCGTGCAACTTCGCAGCGCAATGTCAGGTCTTGAAACTCATGGAGTTGTTTCTTAAAGGATTCGTCGTGACGTGAGGTATTCAATAGTAGCTGCGTCCCACCTATGAGTCATTTTGCAAGTGCTCATGGAGGTGTCAGTCCTGATGCTAGCTGGACCCCCTATACAAGACGTCAAAAAGAAAAGCAAAGCTAGACGGGCGCATGCAGGCGCATATTGGTTTGTGGTGGGGCGCTGGCAGAATTGATTTCTTCAAATGCTCACAATGCCTTTGAAGAATCACATGGTGTGGAACCCGTAAACTCCTTCAATTCGATTGCTGCAAGCGGAGGTGCTCCTCTCTGCAAGATGCTGTGGCCAGCTACTGGCCAGGCTTGATTCTGGGTGCGAACCTTCAGTTGCTTTGAACTGTATTTGGAAGTACTCGTGCCTCAGAAAATGCAGGAATCCGGTTGCTGTGGGACTTGTTGCTTTTCCATGAACATTCTAAAAGCCAATTCCACGGAGATCGCGGTAGCGTGCCAGTTCCGATAACCAGCCTGTATGCTAAAAGGACTGTTTTAAACAAGTGTCAAGACGGTCTTTCCTGCCACCACGTTTTCCTGTTCCCCTTGGGCCTCGCTCAAAAAGCCTCCCGTTCGGGCGCCTCTTGCTTTACTCCAGTCCGTCCGTGAGTCCACCAGTGAGTCGGACGTCCGAGGCTCCTGGAGGAGACCATCAACCCCCACCAGCATGCGTTCGCGCTCGAGAAGATCCGTACTGCACACCTTCGAGCGGAACAGCTGATCGTTCAGCTGCTGGCGGAGTTGGAGCACTGGGACTTCGAGGTAGCTAGATGCCGAAACAGCAACGCTCATGATGAGTCAAGCAGAGAAGTGCTTTTAAGAGTGGCAGGGCCTTGAAACCTCTTAAATAAGATATGAGAAGTCTAGAAGACAAGAATGAAACAAGAAGCGTTGACGGCCGTGACCTCAATGCTCAAGACAAAAACCAGGTGTCAGTTAGGCCCATGGACACCTTCCAATCCCCGTCCGCAGTGTTTGTCCTGTTCGTCGGTGGACTGGCGGGGTGGCACGCTCGGGCAGCGCTGGAAAAAGGACGAAGCGTCCTCGGTTTGCCACTGTGCCTGTCACTGCAGCTGTGAGTTGGGAGGTTCGGCGATCTGGACATTCTTGTTGGGCGTGAGCGTGATCATTCTAGTTGTGTTGGCTGCCGGCTTTCTTCGTTTTGAGAAGGGATTAGGTTGGGGGCACTCTTCATCTCCTAGTTCACCACAAAAAGGCACGAAGGGTGTCTTTGGCACCACCGGCAAGTTGAGCTTGGTGGATTAGTGCCCCTGGCCAAACGTTCGAAAGAGTGGTTTTGGCCGAAAACCCCTGTTTGAGTGGGAGGGATGCAGCCTGGCCACTTGGCCCTTGTCAACTACGGCGAGTTGCCGGTTCAATGGCACACTCGAGTGTTGTTAGCTCAGGTTCACAACAATGAGTGGGTGATTTTGACTCCCGACCCGACTTAGATCGGTACATTGAGCAGATGGATCACCACAACACAGATTATGTTGATTTTGAATTTCTTGGAAGCTCACACGACATCCCCGCTCGTATTCCAGCTGCTGCAGTGTATGGGTTCAGACCCTTGTTGCCCGGAGACCTGGCAAATCAGATGCGACATGCTCAGCTTGAGGCACAAGCTGAACGGATTGCACGAGGTCTTGCCAGTGGCAGCCCCAGCGCCTGTACCTCCAGCCGGAGCTCCGCCTGTCCCTCCACCTCTTGCCGGAGTGTTGGGGGTGGGGGCAGGTGGGCACGGAGGGCCAGGTCCAGTGCACCTGGGATTTACGTTTGGGTGGCAATCGAAGCTTCGGGGGAAGGCGAAAAGGGGAGGTCACTTGCATTGAACCAGCTCCGTTACCTGCAGGTCATGTGCGGATTGGAGAGCGTGCAGTGGTTCCTGACCGTGATGGTCGCCTAGAAGGTTGCTTTGTGAAGAGGGTGTTGCAAGCTGACTCTCCTACACTGGCCTTGGATGATTTCAGGACTTTGCCAGTGTCTTTCGATGGTCAGGGTATGCGTCGAAGAGAGTTTGCAGCAGCTGTTCCATTGATGGTTGAGGGCGCCCCCCAGCAAGGTGGTTTGCAACTTGAAGGACCAGCTACAGCCTTGAACATATGCAAGAGCCTTCGGGACCAGGCCATGGCTCCGTCGTCATTTCATGAGTTTTGGTTGCGCACAGCAGAGATTCTAAAGGGGGATCGGAGTACATATGAACGTGAGTGCCTGTCCCGCATTTTTGAGTCGATGGTGTGCATTGACCAACTCAATCCAAGCGGGCTACAGTCGGCAGAGTTGTTGGTGAGAAGAATGCAGGTCATTCGGGAAGCTCATCGGTTGAGTCCTTCAGCACCTGACTGCAGTGCAGCACAGATCATTTCATGGGTTGGAGGTACAAGAAACAATCCTCCGGCATCGACTCCAGCCTGGCAGCACATGTAGCTGGGGAGCTGAAGCATGAAGCAGCAATCTCCAAGGAGGCCCGCAAGGCCCGAGAAGAAGCACAAGCACGTTCCAACCGCCATAACCCCCATGGTCAAAAGGGGGACGGCGGGGAGAAGAAATCAAATTGCAGGGTGTTTGAATGAGATGTATTGTTCAATTCAACCTGTTCATTTCCATAGGACCACAATGCCGCAAGGTGAAAGGGTGCTGACGAGTGAAAACGACTGCACATGTTTTTGCTCCACAAATCTAGCACAAATTGCTGGTATTGTTTAGGATCGTTTGCAAGAACCCTGTCCATGTATGGCCTAAACCGTGAGTGCCGCTCAGCGATGCCACCCCAGGTCTCCTCATCCACCAACATTCGATTCAGAGCGTCCTCTACTACTTCTCGACCCACTGGATCCATCACCTCAGCAATTGGGACAAGTTTTGTCCCCACGGTCCCCACGTCAGGAAGGGAAACGAGGTCTCTCACATAGGGACGTACTGTTGTGCACGCAGAACCACCGCTGTAGCCTGCGTCGATATGCAGAAGCTCTTGAATAGCCTCATGCTCACCAGTATAGGAAGCTGGCTTGGGCACTCTTCCAAGTTGCTTGAAAATCTGGTGCAAACTCTCATGCTGTGCCAGAAACCTGCCTCTTGCAGAAAAATGGCCGCAAGTGTGAATGCTGGACGGGATAGCGGATGGATTTCATAAGTATTTACATACTGTGTATTTATATATATATATGTATATTTATATATATATACTGGGTGCAAGTGACCCAGGATTAGGCGGACATAGCTGCAGAAACACTAATCCTAAGTCATTAGGAAATGTTAAAATTTGACATTTTAGCACTAGTCCTAAGTCATCAGGCTAAAACAATGAAAAAGCGGCCAAAAATGGTTAGCTCCGGAGATTCTTCAAAAGAGTGAAATTCACTCACAGACGGTGATGACGTAGGACTAGTTGACAGATTGCAGATGCCATAAAGCATGACTTAGGAGAGAGAGAGAAAAACAAACTAGGATGGATCCTAAGTCATCAGACATTAGAGGGAACATGCGAAAGACACAATACAACAGCCTATGTCATCACCCTGTGTCACCCCACAGTTTGGACATGTTTTTTAATTATATATGATGAAGGCGCCTGGATTTCTCGTACACTAGTCCTAAGTCATCAGCATTTAGTTGGGACAGGGTTTCTACCGTGCACATTGCCGTTCGCTGATGACTTAGGAGTATGGAACAGCTGAACCTAAGTCACTGGTGGCCACAAGTCCTAAGTCACCGGTCCCCAGTATATATGTATATTTATATATATAAATATATTTTGTATTTCATTTGGATGAATTTGGGGCATTTGAGTTGGCCTGTGTTGGTGGAAAGCATAATTACATAAATATTTTAATTCTTGGGGAAGATGTTTTCGACCGCTTTTTAGGTATCGGTCAAGGTTGACGATGATGAAGAGGTCGGCCTGCTATGTGGGATGCTGCAGAAGTCACTGGAGGAGCACAGGCAACACGTTTTCAATCTCAAAAAGACAGGGAAGGTGGCTGCCACAGAATCACACAGAATGTCAACTGTGTGTTCAAGCATATATAGCTGTTGAATTTTGAAAGGTTGCAGTTTGGGGACCCATTGAAGAGCAACATCACAGATTTTTTTCTCAAACGTTCGACTTGAGGCACTTGATTCGGACCTTCGTCCTCAAGGTCTTGAAAGACTATGGTGCGCTGCTCCTGGGGCTCCTCCTTTTGGCCTCTATGTACCGCGTACCCGCAATGGTGAGAGGATTTTGTCGCGAGAATCACTCGATGCTGACTCACAGGGTGCGTTTGGTGCTGACCTGCCAAGCTAGGCACCAGTTGTTGTTTGCCTCCAAGGGTCAAAATTGTTTCTAGGGAAGGTGAGCCAAGAGCTTTGAACAACTTGGTGCCCAAAAATATGCCAAGTGAATGCGTGACTTGCCAGGCTCTTGATGTGGGACTTGTGGATGCTGTTCACCACACTCCTCGCAAGCTTGCTGGCCATTCTCACCTTAGTCCGAGCGTTAGAGTTCCTGCAGGTTGCATTTTTGTACTGCAAGAGCTTGCAAGACCTTCGTGCCGCTGCATGGAGAGCTGTCAAGGATGCGCTGAGCTCCTTGTGGGAGCCTCGTCGTTTTCTTGTTTTCTTGATGAAATGAGCCTTGCTGTTGGCTGTTGGTATGGCGAATGTATGGCGTAATACCCGGACCATCCTGGACCTATATTGATTACTGTATGTACCACTACCAACCATACAGTATTCTTCGCCAGATTTTGAAACACATCGCCATGCCAATGGCACTGCTTCATAAAGACCCATGCGGAGTCTTGAAGACTAGAACAAACACGTCCTTGATCCAAGGAGCTTATTTCACTTCTGACCCTTTGGGAGACTTACACAAGCTTGGTCCGCGCCAGCATTTGTGCTGTGCTAATACCCGCGTGGGGCTTGACGCCTTTGCCACACTGGTTGCGAATCATCCTGTGGCTAGGCCTTTGCTCGCTGCCATGGCTGCTGACCTTACAGCGGGCTGTGATCATCTTTGGGGCGTTGGAGGTGGTCTTGTTCACGATAAACCTGCTGAGGAAAGGATGTCAGACCTGCCAGGCACCTTCTGCCTACTTGAATGCCATGCGGATGACAGGGATCAATGGATTGGTGCTCGTGTTTGTGGTGGGGGAGGGTGTGATGCTGGCAAGCGTTGAGTACCTTGAGCCGCTCTTCATGAACTGGACCTGGTTTATAGTTGCTGCGTGCGTTGGAGTTTTGTGGCTCATTGTGATGTCCCTCCCGCACGCCATGTCTTCATCCATCAAGAGCTGTGTGGATGCTGTCAAGTTTCATATGGCTATCCAGCTATTGCGACTTGGTGCTCAGACAGTCAATGCGACCAAAATACTTCTAAAATGAACAGGCTGGGGCGGGGAACTCTTCTCCGAGGCCAGCAGGGAACTGAATATTGCAAAATAGTGTCACTTCTTGGCCTTTCCTCCCATAGTTTGAATCTGGGCTGCTTGGGGTTCCCTGTTTTAGACAGGCGACGATGTTGCTTGCTGCCGGCTGCTGTGGTCTTTCTTTCACAGATGGACCCGCAAGCGCAGGATGCGACCTCGCGAGCAGCTGGCATGCTGCTGGCTTTTCTCTCCTTCACAGCAGTCTTGGGTTTCACGGCAAGTTTTGTTTGGAGAGCTGGCGGTTGTAGAAGCCCTTTTTTTGCATGCTTAGCCTTATTCCCAGCAGTCATTCGAGCCATGGTATTGCATGTGCAATCTCCAAAAAACCCAGACCCTCCCGACATGATTGGCAGCAAAGCAGTTGCCATTGATTTCGTCACACAACAACGGCAACCTGCTGTCCAACCCTTACAGCAAGACGGTTGAGTTCGGCATGGACACACTCGTCAGATTCGGACGACCAGACGACCAGTTCCCCGCTGCCGCTGCCAAAGCGCGTCACCATGCGTCACCCAGGTTGGGACTTGCTGTGCCAGGAGCATTTGCCAGAGAATTTGGGTTTGGACCTGGTGCAGCCTCCAGCCTTCCTAGCAGGATTGTTCTTCGCCCAGGTGCGAGCAGCATGGCTACGGGCATGAGTAGTGGCATGAGTATCATGAGTCGTTTGCGAAGGTTCATGTCATGGAGTGTACGTGTGGTTAAGTTAAGTGTATGGCGATGTACCCTCCCTCCAACAAGCCTGCAAGCTATATGGACTGAGCAGGACCCCTCAAAAAGAGGAACAGGGTCTTCCAGGGGCCATGCCATCCACTTCTTCTGATTGGTTCAGGGAGTGTATGGCGTTTGTAGGTCGCTTTTGTCCATCAGCAGCTCCACGGAAACCTTACGACATGCTTCGCGGCGTCGCTCCTCATGCCTGCACCTCGGCAGCGAGGAGAGCTCTTGGCCATGGAGGAACATGAAATAACATGAACGAACGAGACGGACACTTTTCAGTAAGGAAGAGTCGGGGACTTCAATCGTACACTTTTCAGTAACTACATGCCACACACCTGAATAGCAAGGGACTTCAATCGTTTAAGGGGCTGATGATGGCTGATGTGTGATCGTTTTGGAAGACACGTGCGAGACTGAGGCGGCAAGCAAACCTCCGTTTTGGCGTTTGCTTGACTGAAAGGGTTGGTTAATGTCAGTGTGGCACAGTGCAATCATATACTTAGTATCGCAATTATTGTAAGGGCTCCGCCCTGGTGCCGCCGACCCCTTTTTTGTGAGACAAGGCAGCATGGCGAGGAAGGCAACAACCGAAGTTGGACATAGTGCTCCCCAGCTACTCTGCGTACTAGAGTTGTATTGCTAAGTCGCCACTTCTCATCTTCCATCTCCACAGATTCCTCCGCGTACTAAAGTTGTACTACGCGGTCGCCAGTTCTCAGCTTCCAGCTCCACAGATTCCTCCGCGTACTAAAGTTGTACTACAAAGTCACCAGTTCTGAGCTTCCCGCTCCCCAGGTACTCCGCGTACTACAGTTGTACTACAAAGTCGCCAGTGCTCATCTCCCAGCTCCCCAGATACTCCACGCCCTCAAGTTGTACTACCCACGCGCCAGTTCTCATCTTCCCGCTCCCCAGCTACTCCGCGTACTAAAGTTATACTATACAGTCGCGAGTTCTCACCTACTACCCACTCATCAGTTCTCATCATCCCCCTCCCCAGCTACTCTGCGTACTAAAGTTGTATTGCTAAGTCGCCACTTCTCATCTTCCAGCTCCACAGCTATACTCCGCGGACTAAAGTTGTACTACGCAGTCGCCAGTTCTCAGCTTCCATCTCCACAGATTCGAGAGGCTCTCTCCCCAGGCTCCCGCCTGACGCAGAGGCAAGGCAACGCTGCGATGCAGGAGTACGCCAAAGGCGCTGGGAAGGGTTTGAAGGCGCGCGGGGGGTTTAAAGGCGGTGCTCTCTCCCCAGGCTCCCGCCTGACGCAGGCAAGGCTGCGATGCACGTTCCAGAGGCTCTCTCCCCAGGCTCCCGCCTGACGCAGAGGCAAGGCAAGGCTGCGATGCAGGAGTACGCCAAAGGCGCTGGGAAGGGTTTGAAGCCGCGCGGGGGTTTAAAGGCGGTGCAAAGTGCCTAACGTCGCTTTTGGAAGCCCATAAGAAGAGAAGAGGCAGGCCTGCGAGCTGCCGAGAAGAGGAAGAGGGCAAGGCTGCGGTGCAGGAGTAGGCCAAACGCGCTGGGGAAGGTTTGCAGCCGCGGGGGAGGGTTTGAAGGCGGTGCAAAATGCCTAACGTCGCTTTTGGAAGCCCATAGGAGCACGGGCTGCACGTTCCAGGGCTCTCTCCCCAGGCTCCCGCCTGACGCAAGCGGCTGCGATGCAGGAGTAGGCCAAAGGCGCTGGGAAGGGTTTGAAGGCGCGCGGGGGGTTTAAAGGCGGTGCAAAATGCCTAACGTCGCTTTTGGAAGCCCATAAGAAGAGAAGAGGCAGGCCTGCGAGCTGCCGAGAAGAGGAAGAGGGCAAGGCTGCGGTGCAGGAGTAGGCCAAACTGCCCCGAGAAGAGGAAGAGGGCAAGGCTGCGGTGCAGGAGTAGGCCAAACTGCCGAGGGGTTTGAAGACTTGGCCAACTGCTTCACCCTGCGGTGTCCCAGGCGCCTCCCCGCCTAGGCTTTGGCTATAGGCCGGGGTCGGCGGATATATAATTCATCTTCATCATCTTCCTTTCCGTTGGAACCTCCACTCGAGTGGGGGGCATTGCTTGTAGTCATTCCATGAGGTTTGGATCCTGAGCTTCCAGCTGGTGAGTGACTTGGCACAGCTTGCGATAGCTGGCGCACAAACACATGGGACACAAAAACGGGAAGCTGCAAGCCTTGAGCTGGACAACGTGTTGAAATATGGCCAGCTTTGGAGCCCAAACGCCGTCATTTCCCAAGGATCTTAGCCAAAGGCCTAAAACCTGGTGTATACTTATCCTTTTTGGATCTCCCGAAGGGTCCTTTTCATCTCAATTCCTGGAGACAACGTTGGGGATTGGCTAGGTGGGAGCATTGGCGGGCCACTGTGGCTGATGCCGCTCCAGCTGGCTGCTTCTTGCCTGGTTTCATATTTGGCCTGGGCCCGGCTGGTGCACTTCAATCACCAGTGGGCAGGCCGAGTTCGATAGGATCAGATGTCTTGAGCAGAGGCGAGAGACTACTTAGCCAACCAACGAGTGCAAGAACATGCAATCTAATGACTGCATGTCTTCCTGCAGGCCTGTGGCAGGGTTGCGTGGTGACACCTGCAGCCAAGCACATGTCGCCCAGATTCGATGTAGTAGCACACACACACACACGTAGCAACACATAGCCACATAGCATATAAATGCATGAAATTTAGTATATAATCATGCATCATATTTATATATATATATCAATATTTACATATATAGATTATAGATTTTGCTCTCAAGTTTACAGTATTAACTTCAGAGATAGATATGGGCCAAAAAATGCTCTAGACCATTTAACTCCCCAAGAGACCTACCTTTGGCCGCCCGAACGTCCACAGGCGCAGCTTGTTTGGCACTGCTCGCGGCGCTGGGGTTCCTAGCTGCTTGGTGGCTGGCGCGGCGGTGGCGCCGTCAGGCGTCCTCGGGGGCAGCACAGGTCTTGAAACAACTGCTCGAGACATGGCTTGGGAAGTTGGAAGTTGGACACGGTCCCCAAATATGTTTGTTCATGATGTTATGGCATTGACATTGCACTTCAATCTACTCGTTTCAGTTTTCAAGTTCCTCCCATCTATAGAGCCCCCCCCCTTCGATCAAAACGAATATGTCAGCTCTAGTGAAAGCATCAGCGCGTTGGCATCACAGCATCTTGCAGCTGTGTAGACAAGATTGCATCAATGAGATCCCAAGCAAATTCACTTTGTTGATCTTGGGCACGGCTGTGCACGGAGTAAAGGGGATGGACGCCCCGAACAGATTTGTTGAGTGCATCAACTTGCCACCCAATAAGGAAGAGATACTGCCAGTTGTTGAAGTCGAGACGTGTTTTTTTCAAATAGCAGATAGAAGGTGATTAGCAAACCAGGAAGTCGATACACTATAGCGTTTCCTTGCAGGATAGAGTGTGTTGGAAGATGTTTTCTAAATGCATGGTTTTATTCAATGGGCTTGTTTTACTCAGCGTTCACAGTGTTTTGATTGCACAAGACCTACCGCAAGGAAGTTGGCAGGCAACCCATAGGTTGTTTCTAGAGGTTTCTATAGGCAGCCCATAGGTTCCCCTTCATCTTGGGATTGTGGGTCTCATATGTCCAACCCTCCAAGGGCTTATAGGGCCAGCCCTCGGAAGCAGGGTCCTCGTGGAAACCTGGCTTCCGCTGTGAAGCGGGCACAGGCATGAACTTGTGCCAGATGAGGTGTGCCCTTGGGGGAAGCTTGATTGGGCTACCTTCGCTGGTGCTGCCGGTCTGCTGCTGGTTTTTTGCTGCTGCTGCTGCCTTGCTGCTGCTGGTTGGCTACTGCTGCTGCTGGCGGTTGGCTGCTGTTGGTTTGCTGCTGGTTGGCTGCTGCTGCTGCTGGCTGATTGCTGCCGGTGCTGCTGCTTGCTGCTTGGTTGCTGCTGGTGCTGCTGCTTGCTGCTTGCTGCTGCTTGTCGCTGCCGCTGCTGCGGCCTGGGCTACAAGGCCTACTCATTTGCTGCCTGTCATTGTCTTGCACGCCCTATGATTATAGCAGGCTTCTTCCATTGCAGACTGGGCGTTGGAAACGTGATATCAAGCTTGGTGGCAGGCCTGTTTGGTGAAATGCGGTGCCCCATGCGGAAACAAGTATCGCAAGGATGTTGCCGTGACTTAGTCGCGGCGTGGTGTCCCAGTTTTTGATTGGTTGCCACGGCTGCATTGCAAGGACTTTTGTGTTTGGGTGTTAGTGGGCATGGGTCTTCTGGGCAAACGTGTTCATCTCGCCCAATACCTCGCCCACATCTCGCCCTCTATCTCGCCCAACCCACCAGGCACCAGGACCTCCAGAGGTGTGCGATGGGGATTGCCATTGTCACAACACATATGTGTATATAAGCAAAGGCCTCTTCAATTTACATGCCCCCCCAGGCAAGGAGCCATTTGCAGGGTTCATGTTTTCAAGCGTTCATGTTCACATTTTTCGCAGGTGTGCCATGCGGAAGTGTGTCCGCACAGTCGTTGAAAGACAGGAACGCGCACGCACAGACACCAAAGAAGGCAAAACGCAAGCTAACCATGGTTTTTTCGTGGTCTTAGCATACTTCTGGCAGAGATCGGAAGCCGATGTGCCATGGGGATAATGTGGGATTTGCTCCTGTGATGTGGGATTGGTGAAAACGGTGTGCCATGGGATGATGTGGTTTCTAGCCTCTGCTGGTTGGGTGCTGCTGCTGCTCCTGCTGCTCCTCCGCTGTTTTGCTGCTGGTGGTCGGCTGCTGCCAGTTGCTGCTGGTTTGCTGGCGCTGGTTGGCTACTATACTGCTGGTTAGCTGCTGCTGGCTTGGTGCTGCCTGCTGTTTGGCTGCTGCTGGTTTGCTGCTGCTGTTTGGCCGCTGCTGGTTACCTTCTGCTGCTGTTGGATTGTTGGTGCTGTTTTGCTGCTGGTTGGCTGCTGCTTGCTGCTGCCGCTGCCTGCGCTACAAAGCCTACTCATTTGCTGCTGGCTGTTGCTGCACAAACCCTATCATTGTGGCAGTGTCCGGTTGTAAACTGGGCTTGGAAAGCATGGTTTTGGCCTAGATGGCCTGTTTGGTGAAAGGCGGTGTCCCATGCGAAAACTAAGTGACTCTGCCGTGACTTAGTCGTGGTGTGGTGCCACAGTGTGATTTGCTTGCCGCAACTGCTTTGCAAGGACTTTCGTGTCTGGGTGGTTACCCTCGAGGTAGGAACTTAAAGGTGGTGCCAACAAGTGTGTGAGAATCGGTGTGCCATGGGGTTGGATCATTTCAGCCCATAGGAAACCTTAGAACCCATCAACGTGTAGAAATTGAATCGCAATGGAATGGTGTAGGTTTAGAAACAATCTAGGCTAGGAGAAAAAGTGCTTGTTTCGAAGCGGTGTGCCATGGGGATTGGGAGAGGAATACACACAAGAATGCATAGATATTTTTGACGTTTAAAGAACAGTTCCATGCTGTTTGCACTCCAGGTAGAAACTTAAAGCTGGTACCAACATGTGGGTCAGAATCGGGGTGCCATGGGGATTGGATCACGGCAACCCATAGATAACATTTGAACACATCAACATGTAGAAGGTTGAATCGCAAACAATCTAGGAGAAAAAGTGCTTGTTTCGAAGCGGTGTGCCATTTTGTCCAAATGGGGTAAGTTCTTACATTCGTGGGTAAGCGGTGTGCCATGGGGGTGGGTCAAGTTCATGTGCGATGGGGTAAGTTACCACGTCGGGTAGCTCTCCAAATTGCGTTGCCATTGGGATTTGCAGTTGAAGTTTTCTCTTTTTGGAAAGGTGAATCTGGAGAACCTTGTTCTGTATGTAGCGTTTACAATGGGGAAGGCCAGCAGTCTTGACTTAAGTACTGACTTTTGCAGATCGGCGTTCCATGGTGGTTTAGTATCCCACATGAAAAATGTATCAACTTCAACGGGCACCAGTATGTATGTGACTGACACGTCGGATGACAGACATGAGCTGCACATGAGTCATGATTGGTCATGATTAGTCATGAGAAAATCCAGACATGTGACTTAAGCTTGACTAGCTGAGCCCGTGGAGCGAGACCTCGCAGCTGAGGATCGACTGGCCCAAAAGGGCGCGCAGCTCGAGGCGGCGACCCTGGTCGAGACGAAGGGCGAGGATTTGAGCCCCGAAGAGGGTGCAATGCAATTGGAGGCTCGTTTGACTGATCTATGAGCATCGTTTTGAAGCCTATACCTTCAAGGCTTTGCATGCACCAAGCCGGTAGAACCAGGTGATGTTCTCTTCATGAAGCAATACGAAGCAGCTGACCTGTCTCAGCACTTGAGTTTCCTTGCTCTTCCGGACCGACCCTGATTTTTTTCCCTCGCGGCACGGCTCCTCTTCAGGTTCTCGAGAAGGGGACTCGGATGGAGTATCTCAGCAAGAGTTTCTTGTCCACTCGCCATGACTGGCTCTCCTCCTTGCGTGCCGGGCGCCGCCACTTCGACCCTTGACATGAGCAGCAAGATGAAGGGCGGGGGAGGAGACCACAAGAGATGGGTTGCTCCACTCGGCGACAGGGCTAGATCTTCCTCAGACGGAAATTTCCGTCCGAGTTTGATTCAGAGATTTCATGAGGTGTTCGTCATTTTTCGTCCGAGTTCGAAGCTAAAAGTTGTTTAGAAATTCATTGAGGTTGAAGTTCTATAATATATAGATGCTGTTTGGAAATGATTCCAAAGCTGTACATGTACCAAGCTGAATGTCAATATGCCAGTTTGTTTTAAAGTAGCAGGTGTGCATGTGCACGGGCTGGTGGGCGCAAAGAGCGAGCCCAATCACGATTGAGCCATGCTTACCAAAAACAGCCTGAAACTGAAATTCGTCCGAGTTCTCAAGATTCGTCCGAATTGGGTGCCAACAACTCATACTGAAATTTCAGTACAAATGAAGATGTAGGTATATATGTGTGTGTGTGGCAATTGCCAACGACGACTGCGCTTGTTGTTTACAACGTGTTTTGTTTTTTAAACGTGCTTTGCGTTGGCTGGACCCCTGGAGCCTCGTTGAGGGCCTTCATAGTGGAATTGGAGATGAGAACATGTTGTGAGTGGGTGGACTTTGGCTCAACATGTTTCAGAGAACCATGCTGAATTTGTTTTACTGTTTTTCACTCAAGAAAAAGATAGAAGAAGACTGAACCCTCCCCCCCCCCTCCCCCAAACAATATATTTAACACTCTTCATCCTTCGGCCCATTTCGGCCCCTTGGGCCATCCGCATGCCATCCGCGTCCAATCCGGCATCCCTCGGAGGATGTGGTGGTGACCTGTGGCACTGCGCTCCTGGAGGCGATTTGCACCCCTCCCAGCACGCTGCAGATCTTCTCGCTGATGCGGCGCAAGAGCGGGCGACGGGTCCCTACAGCGGCTGGGAGCGAGAAGGAACGACCAGTCAAAATGGGCGACAAGTGAATCAATGAAGGAGGACGTTAACCGTTAACCTCACTAAGCGTCCAAGATGCTTCAATCGAACAGTCTACAGATGTCTACAGTTTGTGGTTTGCATGGTCAAGGCACATACCTTCATGGTACGAGTACGAGAGATTCAATTGTACAAGCGTATCATTTTGGATCATTCTACCATATGCTACCCTTTCAGCGGGGATCCTGAGCGGATCGCCTGGGGTTGCTTGGCATGCGTTGTCGTGTTGATGGTTCCATTGCGGGGATTTACGTGTGGCAACAGTGCTGGCCAAGAAGTCAGCGATTCCACACCACTTACGGCAAGTCAACGGCAAGTTGTTTGCTGCGGATGTGAGTTTGGAGCAAATCGCGCCATTGAGCCATATGTAGTACAGTGCTACAGTGCTAATTGCCTGCCAATTGGCTATGGCATAACCGTTTGAAGGACAGGGACGCTGGACGCCTAGCGTTTGTTTGAAGGATCTGTGTCACCTAAAGTGCATCACCTGCCTTCGGTTGAAATTCTCCCCATCCGTAGGTCGCATAGTTTGGTTGCTACGCAGCCAATGGAAGAATCGAAGTTATTCGGAAAACATCTTGAAGGTTCTGGTTCTTTTGTGCCTAATAACGTCCTGAGGATATGTTGCTGCATTTTGTTGATCCAGAAGGGGCCTTTCTGGGAAAGATCCAACGTGGAGTCCGGGAAAGGGGACATTGCTACTGTAACTCGTTGTCCCATCGTAGTTTGACAGTCAGAACCCTGTTTGCTTAGCTCAAGCGTAGTGACACGATAAGCAACAAGGTCTAAGACCTTGCAGCTTGCAGTTTACAGCAATCATCGAGGCCATTTGGCAGATTATCCTGGAATTTGTGAGCGATGTGAAGTACATGTCCAAGATGCTCAATCCTGTAGTGCAAAACTTCAACAGCGGCGGTCCTGATCGGCAACTGATGAGGGCTTGGGAGCTCATGAATGGAGAGCCTTGACATGCCTTGACATTGAGGGGGTTTTAGATGTGTCTTTTTGCTTGTGGGTATTGTCAGTCCTAGATTCGAACTATTTTGCAATTCTAATTCCACAGCATAAACTACCAAAAACCCGTCCTCGAAGCTAACCGCTCAGTTCCAAACGATGCTTTCCGACGGGAGGGTTGCAGATAAAGCGAGTCTACTTCGGCAACCATCTCATCCAGCCGACACCAGGCCGTGTCCTCTTGCGCGCACCCCCCGAAAGCGGGGTCGGAAGATTCGGAAGATATCTATTCCAACAGTTAGGGCTCCAAAGGTCAAACACAGTGAGGTAGCCTCCAGGTGTGGCAGTTTCGCATTCGGCAGGTTGGCGTCCGCGTGCGCTCCTTCGAGCTCACCCGTGGCCAAGCACCGCTCTTCGTGCCGCAGAACTTCCGCAGCCTTCAGGGCTTCCCTGTGACCGTGCTGGATGAACGGGGCCCCTGGCGAGGTCGCATCACTAAAGTGTGGAGAGATTGCGTCGAAGTGAAGAGCGCGCCGACCTCGGTCTCGGCCGATTCGTCGTTGATGAGTTTTCGACATGGTGTTTCGAAAAAAAAAATAAATAAAATAAAAAACTTTTCTCTCGCGAGTTCAATCTGCAAGTCGTTCTAACTTCGACTGGGGAGTTGTGACCTGATGGCCTTTTTTTTACGTTTCCCCCTGTGGCAGCTATTAGCAACAAAAATGACGGACAACAATTCTTCTTTGCAACGATGATCCAACCATCCTGAACGCGGGAGGGAATGCATGAGGTTGTTGGATAGTGAGAGCAAGATGTTTACCCCCCAATAAGGTCACTGGCTGTTTGTTGGCAGGCCATGCATTTGGAAAGAGCTAGAATTTTTGGCCCATCCTTTGGAACAACGAGGCGCTCAGCGGCTGGCAAAATGTGCTCGTATTCTCGGATGGGCGAGTCCAAGTTCTTTCGCAAAGCCCTGAGGAGTGTGAGATCAGAACTTCGAGAGCATATATTTATATATTGTTATAACGTTATATGTATATATATATATATATAGGCGGCCAGTTTGCCAGGGCAGAGTGAGGAAAAATAGTTATACGTTGGGGATCAGCAGAGAGTTTTGCAAGATCAAAGTGTGTTTCCTAGGTGGTGATGATCCATTCATAATACATGTTTAACAATGTTTTGTAATTATACAATGGTGGTGTGCAAGTGTTTGCACCCTGACTGAAGCATGATGGAACTGGGCCGTGTGTGACTGCTGGCTGGTTCATGGCAGGCTTCCAACACAGATTAAATATGACAAACAAGCTGCAAATTGAACCATTCAGCTGAGTTTCCATGCTTTGGACTCAGACACATGTTCAATAGATGCCTTTGCGTCCTGAATTGAGCTTGACGACATGTGTTCCCACATGCTGTCAGGACAGGCTGGCAGAAGATTTGCACTTCTGGACCTTGTTGGTCCATCGAGACCTCCGAGACGTGTGTCCCTGCGGGCGTCCGCGCAAGGGTGGCCCGGTTCATGATCGTTGAACAAGGTTCACGCATGTTCACGCCCTTCTTGGTGGAGGGAGCACTCAACTTTGGGGTTCCTAGTGCTTGGTTGGAAGATGGTCGGAGTATGGTCCGGGTGTGTCCTGATCCCTGATCAAAGTTCGTGGAGGGCACCTAGCAAGTTCATTCGAGTCCACTATGCGTGGATGATATGTGTTTCGATCATTGAGCGGCTCCCCCACAAGAGGACGCCAAGAACTGTTTGGAGTGGCATCGTTCAGGGAGTCAATGAGCCCTTCAAAAAACCAACCTGTTTGAGCCTTTTTGCTGTTTTCTTTTGCAAGAAGGCCCTTCAGTTCAGAATCCTTCAGCAGAGGTGAACACAGCAACTGCTGCAGAAAATGCTACAGACGCTACAGGTGAGGTGTGTGGCGGGGCAATGGATTGAGGCACAAGTACTGGATTGGCTGATGGTACCATTGCTTCGTGTGGGGGATTGGGGTCTCACACATTTGAGAATTGGATCAGCGCCTTTGAAAGGCCACATAAGGCAACTCGCCATACACGTGCATGCAGCTACCCAATGGTTCAGACTGAACACCTGTCCCATTGTCCAGTGTCAACACCTCTTACTTCAATATGGGTTCCACTGGGGCGGATCTCTCCGCACCGATGCCATCCTAAAGCTTGTGATAATTGTTTCGCATGTTTTCCCCAAACAGTGTGGACACACTTGGTTCTTACGGTATGTTTCATAATTTAAATAGTAGGTTTTTCTACATGTTTAATACACGCACACACCGGTCTTGTTGGCCACCCTCAAATCCCTCTAACCATGCATGGGACGTCTTTGGGGGCACCACTCATCGAGAGAGCGAGACGGCTTCGACCAACCGGCAGGCCAAACTGGGTGTCAAACGGCTATGGCGACTTGGGTCACACTGCAGGGTGTGAGGAGCGAACGGCAGGCTTGGAACCCTACCAAGCATATAACTTGGAAGATGAAAGGTCAGGGGGCCCGTTTTAAATTGAAGAGCAAGTTGGAAGTTTGACGAGAAACTGTCAGTCTCACTTCTTCGGTCATCATGTGTTTTCCAGAAGCTCGTTCAACTTCCTTCAAATGCTTTCGAGCTCCAAAAAGTTCCAACAATTCGGGGGTGAAACATGCAGAACTTTCACTCCAGTTCCGTTCCGGGTCACCACGGCATTGTACAGTTATGGTGCTTGTGCCGAAAAAGGCCGGACATGGTTGGGAGGGCGGGAGCAAGCTGTCAGCTGCCGACTCGTTGGCGGGATATCATCCGATTTTCATGTTGCACGTGGCTATAAGCCCGGCCAGAGCTGGCCAAAAGGGCAGGTTTTGCCCCTCCCCGAAAAAAGGAGAGGCAGCAGAGAACCAAAATGGCCTATGTCATGTTTGGAATCACAGGTGTCAGGTTTAGATATCCCATGATATCGCGTTTTGGCTGCACCCACCCATACAATTGCAAACCATATACCTCGGTTTGGAGCCGGTTGAAGTTGTCATCGTGTTTCTTCTTGCCCGCAATTTGTTGGAGTGGAGTTGCTGGAAGCTTGGCCGGCTGGGCCCGGTCCTCCTGATCCATGCCCCGCGATTGTACTCCATTTCGTCAGGATACGTCCAACGGTCGGCAGAACCAATACCAATTGATGTTCAGAAGATGCGTTTTGCCTGATAAATGTGATGAATTAAGCAGACTTGGTTCCATTTTGTTCCACTCTTCAGTTCAGTTGATGTTGCCTCCTTCCTGGTTCAAGCCGCTTCTTCCGCCGCTTCGGCCGCCGAGACGTCGCGCCCGTCCATGGCGCTGGGGGACCCGGACCGGTGGCGACGGTGGTGTGTGGAGTGACCCACAGCCGAAGGTGGGGGTGCAGGGGGCCACTCCAACAACTTGGACTTCTCACCATTTGTTGGGAAGTCATGGCCCTTGGCTGGAACACCAACCTTTGATGTTGTTTCGCTTTTTGGGAGGCCAGAAGCGGCTGAAGAGTGAGAGAGATGCTGCAGGGGGACGGCTGTGAAGACTGGCGGTCGTCGTCATCGTCATTTGCCAGCTTTCCGCTTACCAACGCAAATCCTTTTTGAGAATCAAAGTTAACATTGCTGAGTGGTGCAACATTGCCAGCCTTTCCTTTGAGCTTCTGCATGCTTCTGCCAAAAGGGTATTGAGCACTCTTATCCCGTGTGCAACTGAAGCCCGGCCGCTTCCTCCTCATGCGTTTGGGATCCTAACTCGAAAGGAATTGTTTCTTCACCTGCATACACCAACACAACCGAACAAAATGCTCATGGGGTGCCTATCAGCGATCCACCGTTTTGAAGTCCGTATTGTTTGGTGCGTGTGAGTTGGCTCAGGGCCAAGCGAGGGCAGGAACTCAAGGTGCAGAACCGCACGTTGCGCCTGCTTGGGTGAGGTGGACATGGCTCGCAGGAGTATTCGAGGAACAAACGCCACAAGGCTTAAGCCCCACAATGAATGTTGGGTCACCCTGCGTGGTAGCTGGTGGCTGGCCATAGGAATTGATTGGACTGGGTGACTTGTTGAGTCCTTACCCAACAGCGTAAGCATCAACGCTCATCAAGGACACACGATTACTGTAACACACAGGTGGATCTTTTTGCAGGTGTTCGCATACGTGTCAAACTTCAAACAGTGTTGTGCCCTTTGGGGATTTTTGGGATCAACTGGATATTTTTGCAGACCAACTGTTCCGATTAAGCTGCTTCTATAAACAGCCATTAGTCGAGTTCAATGGAACAAGGGCCCCTCATGTTGAAATATGTTCAGAAAACTCTAGGCCCTATACAAACTGATTCCGTGATGTAGGAAGCGAGCCAACAAAGACTCACACCATGTGATGATAGTCCTTCTGTGCGCCAGGACCATGTTTCGCTACCTTTGCCTCGAAACGAGTGGGCTTTGCCAAGTTTGAACAGATGGCACTGGGAGGGACGACTACGTTGCCAGACAGACATGAGTTACAGGCATTTGTTGCATTTTTTTGGCGCCAGGGTTGGTGGGTTCAGAGGAAACCTCTGAATTTGGGCTGTTCTATGCTGTTGGTCATCACGCAATCCAAAAGCTAAAATGAATGGTTTGGTTGCCTTGTTGTGCTGCCTTTGCATGCCTTTGCTGTTTGCAATGATTGAACAGTTCGGACACCTCTATCAAAGCGGGTTTCTTGATCGTTTTGGCCAGGAAGGGTGGCATCCTCATCACTGAGGACGAGCTCAAGGCGGGTGGCCGTTGGCAGAAATTCCGCCTCGCAACGGCCGCTTCTTCCGGGCGACCAACACAACGAAGCGAACCCTGAAGAAACCTGTTTGGGCAGCAGCAGCAGTAGGTGAGGGAAGAAGACAACCTCGGCAGAGTCCTTGTCCAATCCCACAAGGCCACGGTTTTCCAGGTCGGACGCTGGATTTCTTGTGAAGCTCCAGCATTGGCGGTATAAGCCATGCGAGTTTTGGCTACACACGTTTGGCAGCACAAAATGTGAGCATGCTGCCAAATTCCTTGAGTTCGGGGTAAGGCACATTCTCCTGGGTCAGGTGGTTCATCAGCAGGTGCTTGCGCTTGCGCCAGATGATGGCTACTAGGGCATTTCCGCAAATTGAGTGCCTGCGAAACAAAAAAGCGACGAGCAGGATGTCTCTAATCTGGAATCCCGGATGCAATGGGACCCGAAGAGAGACACCTTTGCACAATGCATGCTTAATAAAGACATAATAAGGCCTATTTTGTAAATGGTGTATCCCTTTGGGAAGCACTTCCTCAGAAATGCCAATCAGGTGTTCTCTCGTGTTCACTGTATGTTGGAGCCCGGTTGAGCCCAAGGTAGCCTGGGAGTTCTTTGACACCAACGGCCACTTGTCATTGCAAATTCCTTGCGCAATACCTGATAGCCTATCCAATCCCTTTTGGAATCTAATGTTTGTGAATACAACCCTCTCGAGCCTTTCCAAATCCAACCGACGAACCATCTGTTGCCTAAACATGCCTAAACAGCGCTCCATCCAGCTACATCGTGGCTTGGTTGAAGTCCGCAGGCCTGAAGGCTAAGGCTGACCTCTGATATATGGTTTGCCAAAGAACATCCTTTGAACAAGTTGACAGTTGCCCTGTGTCTCCCCCCTCACGAATGCTCCCATTCTCAGCACTGCAAAGGTAAAGGGAAGCTCACCATGTCCGAGATCAAGAAGCGCTTGCAGACCTTCTACAAGGAGCGTGTTATTGCTTTGTTTCCGGTAGGGTCCAGGCTAGTCAGTGGCATGTAGAGTTATTCGTTATTAGGTATTCAGGATTCATATCACATTATGCATGAATTATTAAGCAGTTAACAGCAATCCTGTTAAACTTGAACTTACCGTGTTCCATCCAATCTTACAAAACTGGCGGCACCGGGTTTCAGCCGCGAGGACATCACCACACGTGAAGTGAAGTTCCTGCTGAACAACCAGCCGGAAATCACCTTTGAGGACCGGCGCCGACATCCGATATCGAGATGGGATGTCCTGGGAGAAGTTATACTCTGTTGGTTAGAAAGAACCAGCACTTGCCAACTATAGTTCATCCGCCCTATGGCGGGAGTACAGAAACTGAAGCAGACATTGGACGATGTATATCGATTTCTTCCAGAGGGTGCTTGGCGAACTGGCATGGGCGGATCCCGGTGCATGGCGATCCGGACGTTCGGGCGCAGAGGAGCTCTATGCGCTTCTGAAGGACAATCAGCTTACGACGCTTTTCAGAAAAACATATGCGGACCTAGGTTCGGTCTCAGGGGGTTTGGGAGTTTTTCCATGGTGGTGCCATCGTGTGCCAGTAGATTTGCTTGCTTGTGCGACTTTGAGTTGAGGTTCTGAACCATCTCTATGTACATCCATGTTCCGATGAATCAGTGTTGTGTTTTCAACGGAGGGGTGAAGTTGGAAATAACAACATGTACAAATTACATGTGTGCAATCCCAGTGAACGACGGTGCATCACCTGGACTTCATGAAGCCAATGGCAGCCAAGAACGTGTTTCTTTTCTTCGGTGTTGCAGCAGCCTATGTATATCACGCTTGGCCCTGGTTGAAATAGCAAGCTCCATGTTGTGTGGCTTGGCGTGGGATGGTGAATTCCTATCAGCTTTTGGGGAAGGAAGGTGACCGTCCCACAAGTTCAACGGTTCAGTACCACATAGCACAACGGTTCGGACCGGAAGACCGACGCGTCTTCAGGAGCGTCTTCCATCGTCCGTCCGACCCAGACGGATCACCCAGGAACTTTGATCCGGTGAAGGAAGCCTTCAAGGCCGCTGGATTCTCCGTGTGTTTGCCTTGCTTTAAAAAGAAAAACGCGGGGGGGTTTTGGCACTGATGGTTGTTCTGATGGGTTGGTTTCTCTACCTCCTCAACTTGAGAAGAAAACAGTGGCAACAAGACAGTTTGACTCGTTTGACGTTTTGGGATGTATAATTAGCTTGCATGTCCACGACTAAAACTGACCAACTCCAAAGTCCAAAGGAAATGATGTGGTCAGTTTTGAAGGCTCTTTGCCACTCACACGTTGGCCCGCGCTTTTGATCTTGTGGCTCGAGATGTCTTCGGCCGTCAGCTACAAAGTAGCCGATGGCGATCGACAGCTCAAAGTTCCTACAACTTCCTCCGAAGGGGACTGATGCACCTGCGGTGCTCTTCAGGAGCCTTTAAGAGCCAGCCCTGCGGTCTGACTGGATTGAACAATCGCACCAATAGCATTGATATAATTTGATAATGATATATGTCTGGGAAACGCACATTTTCCTGCTGACATACTGATTCTGTCTGTGTGAACAACAATTGCATAAATTCTTCCGTTGGCTTCTCCACTTTGAGTCATCTCATTTCTATAATCCTTCTCATTCTCTGAGACTCTTGTTCAGGAACTCCTATCAGACCGGCGTCTTCTCCATTTTCTACGCCATTGGCCGGCATCCCTTGTACCTGTGGCGTGCTCAGGTGCGGAATGGCCACATCCGCCGCTTGACAGACGAGCACATCGGCTCAGCGGCCTTGGAGGTGGCGGGCAACAACGTGAGCACCTGCCAGGCCGGCGGCGTCCAACTGGGGTGAAAGAGCTTTTTCCAACCCGAAGAGGCAGGTCGGCAGGATTCCTCCAAATTGGATGAACCTGTTTTTTAAAACATCCTCAGACCAAAAAGTTGAAAGACTGAAAGGGCACTGAAAGGGCGGTTTTTTGGGGGTGCGCGGATGGATGACCGTTCGCAAGGGATCGCTTAAAACATACAAAGGCATCACATTCAATTGTGAAGATCACTGAAGCATGGGACATCACAGGATGGTTGGTTATTTGGAAGATTTTGGAAGCGGAGTGCATGAAGCATTGGGGCGGGGGGAGTCTGAATTTCCGAACTCGGAATCTGCAAGTTCAATTGAATTGGGTCTCAAACTGGGGTATGTGCGGATATGCCTTCGAGGTGTTGGGGCAGAGGGAATGCCAGTCAGTGAAGAGAGGTATTGAGATCAGATTCAGGAAAGCTGTTTTATGCTTTGGGGGTGCTCGATTTCATGGAGATGTCACAGTGAGCAGGTCACTTGTCCCGAACAAGACCGACAGACTTTAGGCTGGGATCCGAAAACATCGTGCAGACTTTAGGCGCTACGCTGTTCCCAAAAAACAGAACAGAACAGAACACTGCCATGTCATCCTTGCGTGGATGGATGTCTTCCTGTCGTCGTGGAGGGTCGCATTCCTGGGCCGTGAAACGAGCACCGGGGCCGGACGGGGAAGCCCACCGTGCGATCGCCTTGTGGCGATCGGATTGTGGGACGCCATGGGGCGCCAAAAGCTCATCATCATGTTGTTTTCGCTGACTTGGACCGACCTCAAAAGTGGATGTCCGGTAAGAATAGGATCCTTAGACCGGTGCTTCACGAGTGGTTTGGTCCTTCTAATCATGCAGACGAGAAGAAATATGTTGCCGTCCATTTGCAGTTTCAATCGTCATCATTGATACCATTTGATACCTTTAGCACAGCGCAGAGATTAGCCTGGAGAGGTGTGAAGCTTCCTTTCTTGGTGCTTTTGGTGAAGAACCTCAACAAGTGCCCTACGTCTTGTTTGCTTCGATCTTGTTGGGAGGGCAGCCCAGGGTCATCCAGGGGCATTTTCCATCCACTTCCAGGTCCATGTTAGTCAGGGTGCATCAAAACGATCTATCAGTGTTCATTCAATGTGATTCCTGCTGACATGATGTTTCCCTGCCAATTGACCTTTGGACACACGCTTGCCACTTCGCTTCACTGGTGCAGATCAAGAAATGCCCAGTTTTGCTAGAGCCTTCTCAAGACTAGGCCTTTGAGTTCGGGGTGGAAGATTCCTCCGCATCATGGGACTTCCGGTCGTTTTTATATAACAAGCAGCATCCCTCTCGTGGGTTCCGAATGTCCAACGAGGTACTTTGCCTTCGAGGTGGAGGTGTTGGACGACCAAGGCCGAATGAGCAGATGTTCATAGATGTTCAGTGGAAATCATCAGTGGCGAGAAGGGACCGTGCCGAAAAATACCCCCTTGAAGTCATAGCGAACTTCAAGGAAGACATAGGAATATGATGTGGGGTACATGTTTCAAAGAGCACCCTGACCTACTACAGCAAGCACAGCTCAGCAGAATTCGTGTCGGGTTCTATTGAAGCCGGTTGGTTCGGTCGATCAGGTTCAGACCGGTTGGAGTGTCACCCACTGACCTCGGGTCGATCCGTCCCTTTTTCTTTTTGGGTTCACATGCTCAACGGTTTGAAGGGGGCACTCTCGATTTGAACATGCAGGCCAAAAGCGCCGCTTCAAGGCTTCGAACTTTCACAGTGGCACCAAGGTGGGCTGCCGGGCATTGTGGCGGGAAAGGAGGCTGAAAGGAAGCGATGTTCGGCTATTATCTCCATGGAAAAGACCAAAAAACAGCTCAGCTCAGACTGAAAACCGCAAAGTCTTGTTCGAGCTGGTAAGACCAGGTGCTCATATGTTCCAGCTTGAGTCTGAACTGGTGGTCTTGAGCCCCTCATCAATCTACCAATGGGCGCTGAGACGGGCCGTCCACCTGGAGTAGGGAACAGGTCCTGCTGGAGTACGGATGTGCTTTTGAATAGGGACCCCCAAAAAACACCTGGAAAGACCCATCATAGGCCCGATAGGCCAAAGGCAGCCAAAGCCGGTTGGGGGGCGTCCTGATGAAAAATACCACCGCTTGTTGGCGTTTATGTCAATTCGCCAAGACCTCCAGTCCAGTTCAAATGCGCCAAGACGAGGACATTCACTGTGCCAGGTGGGGCCCTTTAACTGTTCGATGCCTTTGCAGTTGGAGCCTGGTTGGAACCAGGTGGGCCTCCGTTGGGTCTTGTGTTTTTTTTCCCTTTTTGTTTGTGTTTGTGTGTGGGTGGGAATGCCGTGGAGTGCCATGCCACATCATGCAACCAGAGATGCCGTGCTTGGGATCCCGCTCTTGGGCCAGCACTTGAGATCTCATGAGCCTTGTTTTAGGAAGCATTTGACGCGAGTTTTCGACAAGGCTCATGACTCACATTCCTGCACGTTGTTTTCATTAATGCTGATCCACCTGACCTAGCTTCATCGCTGTACGGGCCAAGAACTGCAAAACAATGCGAAACACCAAGACCAAGACAATGCGGTTTTCCCTTCTCAGGTGTTGGGATGAATTTCTCAGGTGAAACCGTGAAACCTGTCCATCCTCAAGTGTTCTTTGCAGTTCATCCAGGGCGTTGAGGCTGGAGACACCTGTCGGACAGGCAAAGACCGGACAGGTGGTTCCTGCATAGATGGGCAACAATGATGGGTTTATATTGCTTGGTCCTAAAAATGTCTAAAGAAAGGAAAACACCCTCTAGTGAACAACCATAATGGGGTTTTTAATCTGATCTCAATAATCGACTTCTCTATTCTGTCTAGTCTGGGTTGGGTTCGTCCAAGACTCGACTCCCGCTGCAGCAGGTGATGTTCAACCTGGCTGACTTCACGAAGCGAGCCTTCAACAGTGGCTCGGTGGACGTCGGGTTCTGGGGGCCAGAAGCCAGGTTCCATGGCTTGCGTGCAGGAACAAGGGTTTCTCCTTGCACGCCGCTAGGCTATGATCTTTAGATAGTTTTTTTGTTTTTCTCCAACTAGACCTTAAGCGAACCCAGAAACCATGGAACATCCCTCCTGGCAATGAGTCTACCCAATCAATCAGGCGTCGCTACACCCTGCCATTGCATAGACTCCCCAAAGTAGGCATAACAGCGGGTAAATACCGCCCCTGTTTGGTGGAGAGAAGTCGCCTCCTGGCGAAGTGTTTCCACTTCCATGACTTGGAATTTTCTCAACATGGGCCCGAACCTTTGGAAGGTTAGTTGATGTCACAGTAGTTTGAGGGAGGGTCTTCTGAAATGTTCATAACATGTTGCAGGGTTTGCAATTCCTAGTTGTGTGCACCTCCAGACTTCAATCACCTGGAAAAGCGTGCAACGTCATTCTGATACAAAAGATCAACATCACATGAATGTACACAATTAATTACGGAAGTGGCACAAGGTGCTGGACGACTGTACAGCCTGATGATCTGATGTTGTTGTCATCATGGGATGATCTCACACTGGCAGGATGCAATCTCGTTTGGTGAGCCTTTGAGCTGCTTTAAGGCAATTACGTGGAGACCACCCGCATGACAATCCATGCCAACTGCCGATTGCGGCGGATATTCTTTATGGACCGTCTCTATGACGTAGAGGACGGAGAAAAACAAGCTGTGTTCTTTTGGTTGCTGTAGTTGGTTGGTTGGTCGGTTGGTTTTCCCATTTTGGGCAGGAAGGCACCAGTTGAGCTGTTCAGCTTTGATGCATTCCACAACTTGGCCCATTGGCATAAGAAAAGTATTTCTGTCCAGAACAGGAGAAGCTCTTGTGTGTTCCATGATGTTCTTGGCAAGCTCATGACAAAATATTGGCATCTCTATTGTGGACGGCTTGCTACGGCTGGTCTATTTTATTGAGAAACAGCAGTGGTTCGTGACAGCAAGTGGCTATAGACTGCAACTGCATGCAAATATATACTTATGCATGTTGAAATCTGACTCGACTGTTCAGCCCTCCAAGTTGGGAGCTGGAACTACAAGATATTTTTCCAAAAAATTCCAGACTCCAGACGTCGTCATCCTTCACGTCGGGCTCATTCGCATGGGACCACCTTTGAACCCAGTTCGCGGGCCGGAGGAGCTTCCGCCAGACTACCGCTTGGCGGCCCCCACGCGCGCGGAGCCGCGCGGCGTCGCGCGCGGCTTTGCGGCCCCGCAGCGGGGACCCGCCGCTCCTATGGAGGAGGAAACGGCAGAGGCGCTAGATTTGTGCCAACTTGATGCCTTTTGTGCATCAGTTTTTCAACATTTTTGGCCCCCCAGGTTGAACGACAAGCAGAGACTTATGAGAGACTCATCAGTTGAAACCATCGCTTTTGAGGAAAGTCAAGTGCCATCAAGTGCCCAAGCCTGGCCGTGCTGCTCGCAGGCGACTCCGGTGGCGCCCCTGACGCCCGCTTCCACAGCACCCACTGAGAGCCCTGGGGCCCAGATGGGAACGAACAACTGTCGCATGACATCATGCCCTAGGGCTCCAACCACATCCCCAGAAGGTGGTTGGGGTGGGTTTGGGGGGTCTAACCAACTTCTGAGGATATGGTTGGAGCCCTAGGGATGAGTTGGATGTTCAATCCCTATTGGTGATGAAAACCCCGCCGGATCCAAAAGGTGTCCACAACAACCAGTTTTTAGTGTCTTTTTCGAAGAAAACCGCAATGAATCAATGAATGCCGGTGGATGCTTTTTGTCAATAGGGATGAGGTCCCAGTATAGTCGCTATACAGGTACATGCCATATACTTTTGGCTCAAGTGCCCAACCAGGTAAAAAGGAGCTTTAGCGCGCGAGCCTCATGTTGAACTAAGGGCTAGAACGGGGCCAGGGCACACCTTTTCATCCGTTCGCAGGTTATCAGCCGTATCCAGACTCCTTTGAGCTGGGTACGTGCTGCGGCCTTACACAACACCATCTAAACGCACACGCATCGGATAGATCAGTTACCCTCAGTCACCGAAGATGGACCAATCCGACGCCAGCACTGCATCCTTTGGAGCAGCTGCTGCGGCCGCAGATCGGGTGAGTGCATCCCACAACTCTAGTCCAGGTACGATCGAAGCGGAGACTCTGACAGTGGTGAGAGAAGGTGCGACAGGTAGAGCGCGAAGTCGTTCCCCGTCAGCGCAATCGACACCACCGGGGGGGACACCGAGGTCAGGTCGTAGCCCTAGGGAGACAAGGAGGAGGACTGACACCGGAGCTGTGAGAGTGCTAGCATTGGAGGATGGGTCAACTGTACCAGTGCCGTCGGACAGCGAAGCTGGAGATGGAGCAAGGGCAAGCACTGACAACCTACAACTAGCACGGGCCGATGGAGACCTGAATGCGAAGTGTGCGCAACTACTTGCCGAAGTGCATATGTTGAACCACCAAAACGCATGGATGGTCGAATGTGAGCAGAGACAGAACCAGATTATACAACACGAGACCGAAGTCCACGAAGTAGTGATGGCACACCTCGAAGAATGTTATGTCGAAGGATATGGAAATCAACGAAGAATCTCCCAACTTACGGAGTCCAGAGACTGTTTGCTCTCAGCAGCACACGATTTGCAATACCAGATTGACACTGATCGTGTGGCAATGCGGGATCGTCTCACCCAGTTAGGGGAGTACGCTGATCGCAACAGCGCAGAGATGGTTAGTCAAGTTGTGAACATCGGCACGGAAGAGATCCAGGCTATATCGGCGGAAAGAGATCGAGCCGTAACCGAGGTCATGACTGCAGTCACAGATGCTGAGAACATTAGGGATCTGTATAGACAGGAGTTAGTTGGACTACAAAGGCAGAGTGCCAGGAGCAAACACGAATATGCTGAGGAGATGAAGATGAAGGAAGCAATGTATGCAAGCAAGATCAAATGGTTATCAGAAGAGAATGAGGAGCTCAACAATCGATCTCACAATCAGGACAATTTCATCATGACCATCAGGGAGCAATTGAAGAGGGCGAACGAGGAGTTGACACAGGCGAGGATTCAAGGATCCGATCGACCGTCTCAACCATCCAACGTCGAACTCAAGAAAGCTGAAGTCAAGGTGAACATGTTGGAAGAAGACATTCTACGGAAAGAGAGGATGCTGAAACGTCTTCAGGAAGAACTGATCGAATCGAGCGCAAGTGAAGCACAATTGAAGGTCGCACTGACGTTGAAACCACCAGACATGGGATCGGAACCCAATGTGGAGAATGAGATGATGACCAAGCTTAGAGCGGAACTTGGACGTACCGAGAAGTCATTAAGATCCGAGGAGAAAGAGGCAATGGAATACTACGAAGGTATGATGCAGAACCAGCAGGACATGATGGAATTCGAAGCGCATGCAGCACGGCTCAGAGATGAGAGGAATAAGTACCGGAGGAGGTACGAAGAGGAGCGCTTGAATGCAGAGAATGCAGCCGCAACCGAACATGGTGCCGCCTCATCCTCTAGCTCGGGTGGCTCCAAGATATCTCGGAAGGAACACGAGAAAATCAACATCCCTGCATGGCCCAAGATACACGACCTGGAGGTTTGGAAATCCCAGGTTGTAGCGGCAGTCGTGACGGCATCGGGCGACGAAAGGCAAGAAGATTGGATCCAGTGGCTCTCGGATGCCTTCAGATCACCAAATGACCCATTTCTGCTCGAGACATCAGGTGAAGCAAGATTCGCTAGCATAGACGCTAAGCTAGGTATCACCCTGCATACGATCATCCACGCAGCAGGTGAAAGATCTCATGACGTACAACTGAAGGTGAGGCAGATGATGCAGAGACGTGCGAGAGGCACAACCCCTGGAATGGTCAAGGGACGAGAAATGTTAGCGTTGATCGTCGATAGCTTCCGGAGTGCCGACAACGTTGATGTGATGTATGCATCCAAGCACTTATTCGATCTAAAGTTCCCTGGGGATAATCAACTATCCAGATTCCTCGGACAGTGGGATGAGATCATATCAGGTATGGATGCGGATGACATGCTACTCCGCAACCTGCTTTGGGATAAGATTAAGGATTCCAAGGTCATGGCGTTAGACTTGTCTGTGTACGACAACATGTTGGATAAGGATCCGGATAAGACCTATCAGAAGTTACGAGAGATCATGGCGAAGTGGATACGGAAATCAATCGAGACCACAAACAAGAAAGAAAGGGAAAAAGCCTTTGGGAACCTCGTGAAAGCCACACCAGCGGCGGAGAAGAAGGACCCTAAGGCGAAACCCAAGAATACCAAGGCCGATCCACCGAAGGACGCCGCTCCAGTACTTCCTCAGGCTAATCCGAAGGACCACAACAAGAAGGACAAGAAGCAGGATCGTGGAAGATCAACCACGAAGAGCCCAAAGGGGGATCGTGGCAGGTCAGCGACTCCAGCAGATACATCCAAGATAGGATGCGCCTTCCACTTCCATGGGAAAAACGGATGTTCTAGAGGAGATAAATGCAAGTTTAGTCACCAAGAGAAGCACAAAAGTTCTGCTAAGAAACCAGAAAGCCTCAAGGGTGACAGATCAAAGAGTCCTGGTGGCAGGAGCACTAGCCCTAAGCCAATGAAGGATCAGGTCTGTTGGAATTGGCAGAAAGGATCGTGCAAGTTCGGGGACAAATGTCGACGCCAGCATCACGCTGCTCCTGCTACAAAACAAGAGGCTAAAGGCAAAGCCAAGCCCAAACCGGCTGCGCCAGCCTTCATGTTTTGCGGAGACATCGAGAGTGATGGCGAGGACACGCGACCCGCACTTCCCAACGTACAACAAGGTAAGCTGGCGCTTCGCTTTAAAGTCAGATTCAACGACCGGGCGAGTGTGACCACGTTTACCTGCGATCCTGGTAACGAGCTAAACACCCGTCCCCTCAGGAAGAAGAAGGATGAGGTGCAGAAGGTGGATACCGAGCTCATTTCGTCGTTGAGAGCCCTCAGAGTGAGCAATATAGCTGCACGAGTAGCACATGCCAAAGGTAAGTTGATGGAGCTATACTCTGCTGAACACATTGCCAAGGCATGGATACAAATCACTCAAGATGAAGGAATCGAGGTGAACGTCGACCTGTCTGACTTCAACACCAGCGAGGTAGTAAGGAAGGATTCTGTCAACTACACGATACCAGGAGACACGATGTTCATGGCTGTGGAGAGGTATGATGGACCACCGATACGCTTCATCATGGACACGGGATGTGGACACGACTTGATCTCAAGAGAGAAAGTCAACGCCATGGGCCTTACCACCAAGGAAGGACCCAAATCCGTGAGCTTCATGACAGCGAATGGTGTAACTAGTACATCAGAGATGGTGGACATCAATGTGGACGAACTACCCATGATGTCCGAGGCACACGTGTTGGAGAGCACACCATCAGTCTTCTCCATCGGGAAACGGTGCATGGAACAAGGGTATTCATTCATATGGCCGGCAAATCGATTGCCATACCTCATCGACCAGAACGCGAACAAGATTCCGCTGTCGGTGCATGACAACATACCCTACATCAAGGTGAATGATGATGACGGGAGATGTTTACCAAGACCAGACGGCTTGGCTACGATACTTCATCGCATACTGTCAGGTGTGGGGCATGAAGACGAGGCCACAGCAGGTCAGGAGACACAACAAGAGGAACCTCCGCCCAAGAAACCACGGAGACGGAGGAGAAAG